ATAGCCAGTAAGGGGTGCATCTGGGATTCCAGTGCAGATCTGTGAAGCAGGAGAGCTGTGGGGTATGGGCACACAGGAAATAGGAAGCGATACCTCAGGATTTGGCTGTTTGTGTTCACTAGAGGATACACTAGAGGGCTATTCATGCCCATCGAGGCCAAACCCATTTCTTTTTATGAAAGTCAAAATGAATAATCCATTGTACTTTTGACCAGCCTCGATAGGTCACTCCCACTGGTGGGAGTGATCTCAAACCCACCACCGAGGGCTGAGCCTCTAGACTTCACACTCTGTGTAGAAAGAAGCTTGAGCTGTCTTCTTCCAGGCGGCAGAAGTTCTGGACAGAGACCCTTTTTCTTTCTCACAATAACAAGCCCAAAGGGCCCTGGGGATTTTAGTCTATTAATTCCTCTCCAAAAAATTAAACTGCCTGACTGTCTCAAATAAGGAATTTTTTGGATAAAGAGATGGCTGGGTTCATGGAGGTCATTTCTACTTATGTCCAAAAACAAGCAGATTTTCTTTACTCCATTCATATCTTGAAATCTCCTTATTTTGTTTGAAAGGTGAGCAGGGAGTCCCCGTGGCTTCCGACCTACGACACACACGGCCAAGAGCTCAGTAGTCAAAACCAGACATTTCCATTGTACCCTGTACCGTGCCATCCGTTAGCACTCATAAGAATACTAGCTACTACTTCACAATGACAGCTACTTTAGAATTATAGCTATTCCTTGATTCTTTCATGTCGAATGTTTAAGTTCAGAAGTTTTCATTTTGGTCTTGTCTTTAAAAGAAAGTCCCTTCCACAAATTCGAACCCCTTTCTTACACTGCGGTGCTTGTGGGTCAGAATCAACTTAATTCAGGAATTTATGACAGAAGCTGGACAAGAAATACCAAAAAAGAAAGAGTTTTAAAATCTCAGGGCGCCCTGGGTGGGTTGCTCAGTTGGTTGCAGAGTTGTCCCATACACCAAAAGGTGGCGGGTTCAATCCCTGGTCAGGGCATACGCCTAGGCTGCAGCTTTGATCCCCAGATGAGGCGCGTATGGGGGAGGTAGCCCGTCGATGTCTTTGACATCGATGTTTCTCTCTCTCTCACCCTAAAATCAATAAACACATCCTCGAGTGAGGATTTTAAGAAAAAGAAAACAGCAACCACCTGAGGGCTAGACGTGCCACGTCCTGGTTTCAGAGACCTGGGCCCGCAGAGGAAGGCACCACAGCATGGAGAGCAGCACCAGCCTCTCCCTCTTCAAGCAGCCTGCTGTTTTTCCCACCAGGTCTTGGCCTTGGACCTGAACACCAGGAAGGCAGGACTGTGCCTGCCTTGTCTCCAAGAACCTAGCACGTAGCGGGCAAACCTCACATCGCTGCCCGGTTAGGGTAGATCCGTGGCAGAATGCTGGGTTTGGTGTTTACCGTTTTAGTTGGTGCCTGGCCTCTGTAATGCAAGGCTTCCTGTCACCCTTGGTAGGTATGTGTCTTGGGACTTTCAGACTCCCTCCTAATAGTGAATGCAAATTGCCACTTGGCTATATGACCTGTAATTAACCTTATCTCAGTGGTAGACCCATAATTTGTGGTGGGCTTTTTTTGTTTGTTTTTGAAATGGAAATTGAGCATCCTGAGAAATGAACTCACTTTGATCTCCATGTGTGAAGTCAAAGTCCAACATTTCTGTAGTGTTTCTGCTTAGATTGTGCTGATGAGCGCCAAACAGACACAAAGGGACAGGCATTTTCAAACAACTGGGTGGTTACCTGACTAATCATTGTAATGGTAATTACATGCTTGTTCAGGTACTGGTTCCCCTGGCTACAGAGGCAGGGTTTGGGGAAAGAAGAATGGAGGTTTGATCAGAAGTTTAAATAGAAACGATGCTTTTTACTAAGGGAGGTGGGGACAAAGTAGTGCACTCCTTGGGCTGAGAGGAAGGAGTATGAATAAATAGGAAGTCGACTGTCAGCCCATCAACTGCACCTCGGCTGCCTCTGGTGTTCAGGGGCTGGGGGGGAGGCTCCTGCCTGTCAAGCTGTCGTCCCACCCAGGAGCTGGGTCACGTGGCACCTCCCAGCCCTGTTCCTGCTCTGCTTGTCCCTGTGTATCCTGGGACCACGGCACATATTCAAGGTGCAAAGGAAGGCTTCTGGGGCTTTTTCCGGCCACGGAGAAACTCAAAGGCTGCTTGGTGGAGGTCATGGCTGTCCTATTGACCCTGTTTGCAATCTCTCTACCCAGAAGAATAAAAATATCTTTTAAAGAAGAAAGCTTGCAAGAGAGCATTCTTGGAAACCAACCGGAACCACTCTAACTTCTCTATTCCTGAGCCCCTTGCTCTCCATCACTGTCATCTACCCACTGGGGAAAGCTAGTCAGTGCTTGGTAGAATCGGGGACCTGGGCAAGGAGCTGGGATCCACAGGCAGCATCCTGCCGGCAGAAGGGGTTCCAGGCCAGGCCATCTGCCCATGGCTGACCGATTAGGAACTGAGTGACAGAGGCCTGGGAGCGAATTGGAGAAAAGATGTGCCTCTCTGCCAGTTTGGTGGCTTCAAGTGGCAGTGACTTCTGTGTTTGCAGCCCAGGTTCTATGGTCAGGGCAGGAGCACAGTAGGATAACCCCTGAAAGCAGAGCTGGATGGAGAAAGGCCAGCCTCTGGGGAGAAGCAACCTGAAGTGACAAATTGGCTAAGGGATGCTCTTAACATGTTTTCTTACAGCTCAGGCCATTTCAGCCTGCTGGTAGTTGTGTGTGGTTTTGTTTTAAGAGTGCTGGGGATATTTCAGGAATCCAGGCCTTTGTAGTGCTCAGAACAAAAACAGGGAATAGTGTATATTCTTGTCGTAGCTGCTCGTGACAGGTGCCAAGAAACCAAGCTCAGATGCCGTGGGGGCTGAGCCCCTAAGGGTCCTCGTGAACACACATTGTCTCCCAAAAGTTCACCGACACGCACAGTTTCCAGCTTCCCTGCAGAAGACCCTGGGGAGAAAGTCAGTGAAACTTAGAACAAATCAGCTGACCCCTGCAGCAGGAAGGTGACGAGTCGCCGGTGTGGCAGAGTGCCACTGTGTCCTCGGAGGGGACGATGTTTTCCTTCCACAGGCCATGGTGGGTGTGCCGGAGGACGGTTAGGTGAGGCTTTGAGCTTCAATTTAAAGGAGAGGAAAGTTGTGTCCGACAGATATGAAGAAAAAATTTTTGAGTATAATTTTGAAGGTAGAGAAACAAAGATCAGGCCAGGGGACCTCAGCCAGGGGCAGGCTCTGTCGCTGAGTGCCATCTGGGACTCATCGTAAAGCTCCTTATCTCTGCCATCTGGTCTTCCAGTTCTCGGGTGTTTAGTGTGGCGAGCATGTTGCTGATAGAGGCCTTCTTCAGACAACACCGCCAGGGACAGCCACGTGCAGGTGGCATTTAGCTGTATATTTAAACATATTGACGTCTCATAAAATTCCTTGGCCTCACAGCTTCTTAGAGTGAGTGTGAGGATATGTAGTTATTTTAAAACTTCATCGAGTCTAGTTGAGGTCCCGGGGAAGGGGGGAGAAGGGAGAGACTGGATAGCAGTGTAAACAGGGGAAGAAGGGGGGTTTATCGAGACTGTTCTTTGCAGAAGTTTGTATTCTTCTATGAGTGGTGTTTGTATCCCTGTGCCCAGGACAGGTGGGGGCCAAACAGCTGGGTGGAGGAACCCAGGACACCTACTTTACCTCATTACATGCACACGCACTATCTCCATAGCGCCAGTTTCTGTCTTGTTGCTGTAATATTTTTGGCAACAATAAATTCCTTAAACATTTTTATTTTCTGTTGTACAGAAAACAGAACCCAGCAGACATAAAACTCCACTTAGCTGTGTCCCCCAGTGTTCGCGTCTCAGCCCTGCCGATATCTGTGTGCGCGGTCATCAGTATGGATCTACTACTTCGTGTTCCAGTTTTTCACTCATCACATGCTTGTCCCTACATTGCCGTGTGTGGATAGTTCAGTCGTGCTCACTAAAAGCCCAGAGTAGGTAGGACGCATACACTGCCCTCTGTATTAAGCGACCCATTCCTAGCCATCCTCCCAGTTGGGTTTGCAAGGGTAGGATAAACCTTTGCACCATGACTAGGGGTGGCAATTATCCCTGGGTGTCTTTTGCTAGAAAGGTATATGATCTGAGCTAAGCAGAAACGTGCTTCAAATTCCAAACTGTTTGCAGAGTCTGAAAAGGTCAGGCCCAGAAGAAATGAAGTTAGCCGGAAGGTTTTGGTTGTTTACTACTTTGTAATAGGCCATAGGTTTAAAGTCCAAAGGGGCTCGGCTTTCTACCCCACGTTTGACATCTCAGACCTCAGTCCAGAGGAGAGAAAGCTGAGCTGGCTTCCCTGCACCTTTGCCCACGGCAGTGATAAGCTGGGGGCAGAGGGTGGGCTGGGGAGGGTGGCCCTGCCCTCCTCACTTGTGGGGACAGACATACCAGCCGTGCCTGCATCTGTAACCACTGAGCTCCTTTCCCTGGCTCTTTTTCCATGGATGAGAGGTACCCTGCTGCCCCTATTGCAAAATAACAAGTGGATTACCACAGGAGCTGCTGGGAGTGCCAAGAAGAATGAATGGAGAGCAGCAGCGCTGTGTGAGACCCAGTGGGACTTGCAGAGATGTAATGGGAACAAAGAAAGGAGAAGCACAGATTGACTGGACACAGACAGAAGCAGCTAGAAAGTGCTCAAAGGCTTCTAAGAGCTGGATGACAGGGACAGTGAAAAAGTCTGCAGCTCGGGAGCTGGGCTGCCTCAGAAAGGATGGTCTTTTCACTTCTATCATTTGCTTATTTCCTCTTTAAGTCACATCTATAGTTTACATAAAATGTACTTTAAGTGTGCAGCTTAAATGATGGAGAGAACTGTTCTTATCTACTTGCAAGCTGGAACTGCCTCTTCATTTATTATTCTTTTCCCAGCACAGCATCCAGGACAGAGTAAGTCCTCTGGGAAGCCCAGGTGAAGTGAGCACTCTTCTTACGTTCTCCTGAGTTACTGGTAAACTCCAGCAGGAGATTCCAGTCCTAAAGTGAAGCAAATACCTTGTTCGTAAATGAAGCCTCTGCAGGACCTTGGTGGTTTGCCGTGTATTTTTATTTCTTTTATTTTTCAAGTTAATTGATTGAGGTTTGAAAGATGTAGTTGATTTTATTGACTCTCAGACAGAAAATAGGATGTCTCACATTAACAGATGCATTTATAATTTTATTAACTTATGTAGTTTAAAGTGTATGATGAGCAGATCCAAGATGGCAGCAGAGTAGGTGGATGTTACACTCACCTCCTCCCAGGACCCAGCTGGAATTACAACTAAGTTATAGAGCAATCAACCTGAATAACAAGTTGAAGACTAGCTAAAGAGAAGTCTTGTAACCAGGGGTTTATGGAAGAAGCCACATCAAGCCTGGTAGGGAGGGCAGAGATGTGGAAAGGGCTGGCCCCACTCCCATGAGCAGCTGAGTTAAGGAGGCATAGCACAGCTGCAGAGGTTCCCCTGAGAAGTCTGGGGTCTCAACCCCAAGCTGGTCTCCTCCCAGCCCAGAGTACCAGAGCCTGGAAGAGGTGCCCACATGACATCTAGCTGTGAAAGTCAGAGGGGATTCTCTTCGCCAGGGAGAGACAGGAGTCTGGTAGAGACACAGGCATCTTCTTAAAGGGCCAATGCACAAACTCTTGTTTGCGGCCATTCACTCTGGGCTCTGGTGGAGGAAGGATGAGCAGACTAGAGTCATGTGAGGGCAACTGGGGTTTGTGGTTCTGTGGAGAGAACTAAAGAGACAGCTGCCATGATATGTTTGCTAAATCCCTCTCCCACATCACGGATGCCATCTTTCTTGGGTGGAACATTCCCCTCCAAACAGCATCAGCCTGGGGAATGCAACAGCCCCACCCTCCCGGCTTCCTGTTGCCCCTCCCTGCAGAGCTTGTGCCCTGCTGGAAGGGCCAGAGGGTCGAGGTCTGGGCAGACTCAGGGGGTAGTCAGTGACTGAGTCCTACGGCTTTGGGGTGAGGGCATTTCCTCCTTTCCTGTGAACCTGACTGGTGCCTCCCCCTCACAGGCGATCTGCTAGCTCCACTCTCTAGGCTCCTGGCGGCCCCATCCTCCCAACACCTGGTGGCTGCACCCTTCCAAAGTCTGAGCTGTGCCCTGGACAGACTCAGTTGTGTGGCTCTGGGATGGGGCCACTCCCCCCACTGTTTCTCAAGCCTGACCAGTACATGCCACTTATGGGAGATCCACTAGCCCATTTTCCTGACTCCCAGCAGTCCTGCCCTGCTGAGATCATGTCCTTGGCAGAATCTGGGACAAACTGAGGTGTGTGGACAGGGACCATTTCCCCCTCACCCTACATGCCCGAGCATTGCAGAACCCTCTCTTTACTCAGCCAAATCTTGGTCTGTCTGGGCCTCATAAACTCTGTTGGTCTTACCCTGGCAACATTCTAAAATCCCACCCCATCACAAAGGTGTGCAGGCACCCAGAGAGTGGCAGTTAGATTTGGTATACCCTGGGACATTTGCTAAGTGGCCTCAGACCCAGTATTGGCACCAAGTTTTGACCTGTAACAATCTGGTAAACACCAGTCACCCTTACCTAGTGGCTCACTAAGAACCTTCCTCATGCAACTCAAGTACCACCAGAGGCTCTTCCAGTGACTGAGCCTAACAGGCAGCTACAGGTAGAGACAGGAGGAAGGGGAATCTCAGAAGGCCTTGGGAATTTTTTTTTATCTTTAGAGGGGAAGGGAAGGAGAGAGGGAGAGAAACATCAATCAATGGTTGCCTCCCATGTGTCCCCTGCTGGGAACTGGCCTACAACCCAGACATGTGCCCTGACTGGGAATTGAACCTCGATACTCTGGTTCGCAGGCCTGCGCTCAATCCATTGAGCTACACCAGCCAGGGCTCAGGCCTTGGGACTTTTGTTGACCTGGCTCTGGGCCTGGGGCTGGTAAAAGCTGGCAAAAGCTGGCCTAGGTGTAGAGCTTGGTCCTTCCTGTGTACACACAGGTCTGTAGAAGCAACCACAAACTGTGGATCACTTTGGAGCTCCAAACAGGTTGTATAGGGCTAGTTACAGACAGTGTCTGACTTTGGCTGGCCTCAGAGTCCCTGTCCAGAGGCTCCAGAATCAATGCACCCAGTGGTCAGCTTCCGAAAACATCAGAGCAGGATCCAAACAGCTTCACAAGCAGCATATCGAAAGGGAGATGTTAGCAGGTACCAGACCCTGCAGAGGCAAATTCTGTTTCATGATGTCAGCACCTGCATAGCAGCTCATACTGTGGTCAGGGTTGATCCTCAGAGTCAGCCAGTCTGAGGGTTGATCCCATGAATGAGAGATCCAATAATAGTCAAGACTCAATTAAAATAGGAGGGCCCACATAACTCACACAAGGGACATTCCTAGAGTGCTCAGCTCAGCTGATCGAAGATACTGTGCCACTGGGTCCCCCAGGACAACTACTATATAAGGCCACCCTACCAAGACTGGGAGTCATAGAAGATCTACCTAACACATAGAAACAAACACAGAAAGGCAGCCAAATTGGGGAGACAGAGAAACATTCCCCAAATGAAAGAACAGGAGAAGTCTCTGGAATAAAGCTAAATGAAGTAGAGGCAAATAATTGATCAGATATACAACTCAAAAAGTAGTTATAAGGATGTTCAAGGAACTTAGGAAGAACCACAACAGTGTGAAAAAGGATACGGAAACCACAAAAACAAATGAGTCAGAAATGAAGAATATAATATCCGAAAGAAAGAATACACTGGAAGGAATAAACAGTGGTTGGGTGAAGCAGAGAATCGAATTGGTAATTTGGAAGACAGGGTAGCAGACGAGAACACCCAATCAGAACAAAGAAAAAAAGAATTAAAAAATTCTGGGTAGTTTAAGGGATCTTTGGAACAGCATGAAGCATAACAATAACCTTATCATAGGGGTACCAGAGGAAGAAGTAAAAGAGCAAGGAATTGAGAACCTGTTTCAAGAACTAATTAGCACCCTGGCTGGGTATGTCACTTGGTTGGAGCATTGTCCCAATATGCCAAAGTCGTGAGCTTGATCTCCAGTTGGGCACTTACAAGAAGCAACCAGAGAACACAAATATGTAGAATAACAAGTCAATGTCTCTTTTTTTCTTTCTCTCATCCTTCTCCCCTCCCCTCCCCCCAAAATCAATTTCGTTAAAAAGGAACTAATGACTGAAGACTCCCCTAACCTGGTGAAGGAAAAACAGCGAGTCTAGGAAGTACAGAGAGTCCCAAACAAGATGAACTCAAAGAATCCCACACCAAGACACGTCAAAATTAAAATGGCAAAGATTAAAGACAAAGAGAGAATCTTAAAAGCAATAAGGGAAAGATAGTGAGTTACCTACAAGGGAGCTCCCATAAAACTAACAGCTGACTTCTCAATAGAAACCTTCCAGGCCAGAAGGAATTGGCAAGAAATATTCAAAGTGATGAAAAGCAAGGACCTACAACTAAGACTACTTTACTCAACAAGGCTATCATTTAAAATTGAAGGAGAAATAAAGAACTTCTCAGACAAGAAAAAAGCTAAAGGAATTTTTTATCACCAAACCAGTACCATTAGAAATGTTAAAGGGCCCTCTTTAAGAATAAGAGGAAGTAGACAAAAAAGAACAACATAGTTAAAAGAATAAAATGGTGAAATATGTACTTATCAGTAATCACTTTAAATGTGAATGGCTTAAATGCTTCAATCAAAAGATATAAAGTAACTGAATGGATAAGAAAACAAGACCCTTGTATATACTGTTCTCAGGAGACCCACCTCAGAACTAAAGATGTACACAGACTAAGAGAAAAGGGATGAGGGAAGATATTCATGCAGATAGAAAGGGAAAAAAAGCTGGGATAGCAATATTTTATCTGACAAAATAGACTTTAAAACAAAGGGTATAGTAAGAGACAAAGATGGATACTACATAATGATAAAGTGAGCAATCCAATAAGAGAATATAATCCTTGTAAACATTTATGCACCCAACAGAGGAGCACCTAACTATGTGCAACAAATCTTGATGGACATAATAGGAGAAATTGTAGTATAGTCACAGCAGAAATACACACAAAAAAAGTCTAACAATGCAAAAGACCAATGAAAGAAAAAGCTGTTTTTTTAAAAAGATAAATAAGATTGACAAAACTTTAACCAGACTCATTAATTTAAAAAAAAGGGGGGGGCAAATAAATAAAATCAGAAAGAGGAAAAGTAGCAACTGACACCACAGAAATACAAAGTAAGAAAATGTTATAAACAACTATATGCCAATAAATTGGACAATCTGGAAGAAATAAATAAATTCCTAGAAACATACAATCTTCTAAAACTTTTCAATCAGGAAGAATCAGAAAATCCAAATAGACTGATTACAATTAATGAAATTGAATCAGTAATCAAAAACCTCTCGACAAACAAAAGTCCTGGACTGGATAGCTGCACAGGATAATTTTACCAAACATTCTAAGAACTATCACTTATCCTTCTCAAACTATTCCAAAGTGTTCAAGGGGGAAAGAAGACTCCCAAGCTTATTTTATGAGGCCAGCATTATCCTAAACCAAAAACCAGATAAAAATACTACAAAAAAGAAAAAAAGGAAATTATAGGCCAATATATCCCTGATGAACATAGATGCTAAAATCCTCAATAAAGTAGTAGCAAACATGATCCAGCAACACATTAAAAAGCTCATACACAATGATCAAGTGGGATTTATTCTGGGGATACAAGGTTGGTGTAATATTTACAGATCAATCAATGTGATATATCACATAAACACAATGAAGAATAGAAATCATGATCATATTAATAGGTGCAGAAAAAGCACTTGATAAAAGCCAGCACTCATTTATGATAAAAATTCTCAGCAAAGTGGGAACAGAGGAAACATACTTCAATGTAATAAAGGCCAAATGTGACAAACCCACAGGCAATATCATTTCATACTCAATAAGCAAAAACTAAAAGCATGTCCCTTAAGATCGGGAACAAGACAGGAATGTCAATTTTTAGCACTTTTATTCACTAGTACTAGAAATCCTAGCCACAACAATCAGGCAAGAACAGGAAATAAAAGGCATTCAAACTGGAAAGAAGTAAAACTGTCATTATTTGTGGATGATATGAACCCTATTTAGAGAACCCTAAATGTTCCACAAAAAAACTACTAGAACTGAGAAGTATTTAGTAAAGGAGCAGGATACAAAATAAGTATCTATAAACCAGTTGCATTTTATACACCAATAATTAACTATCAGAAAGGGAAACTAAGAAAACAATTTTATTTACAATGGCATCAAAAATAAAATAAAATACCTAGGAATAAATTTATCCAAGGATGTAAAAAATCTGTACTCAGAAAATTATAAAACTGAATTAAAAAACTGGAGAAGATACAAATAAGTGGAAGCACATACTGTGTTCATGAATAGGAAGAATTAACATCATTAAAATATCCATACTCCCCACAGCAATCTGTGGATTCAACACAATTCTTATCAAAATACCAATAGCATATCTCATAAAACTAGAACAAATATTCCCAAAATTTATATGGAACCACAGAGGACCTCAAATAACCTCAACAATCTTTAGAAAAAAATACAAAATTGGAGGCATCGCACTACCTGATGTCAAACTATACTACAAGGTTATAGTAATCAAAACATCTTGGTACCAGTATAAAAACAGACATTAGATTAACGAAACAATAGAAAGCCCAGGAATAAACCCACAACTTTATGGTCAATTAATATTTTACAAAGGAGACAAGAATATACAATGGGGTAAAGATAGTCTATTCAATAAATGATGTTGGGAAAATTGGACCGATAACATGCAAAAGAAGCAAACTAGACCACCTTCTTACACCATACATAAAAATAAACTCAGAATGGATTAAAGACAAATGTTAGACTCGAGACCATGAAAATCCTAGAAGAAAATATGGGTAATCAAATCTCAGGCATTTATTGTAGCAATACTTTTTCTGACATATCTCCTCAGGCAATGGAAACAAACAAAAAAATAAGTAAATGGGACTACATCAAACTAAAAAGGGTTTGCACAGCAAAGGAGACCATCAACAAAATTAAAAGACAACTCACTGGATGGGAGAACATATTCACCAAGGATATATCTGATAAGGGTTAATATCCAAAATTCATAAAGAACTTACACAACACAACGCCCCCCCCCAAAAAAAGCACAACCCAATTAAAAAATGGGCAAAAGGCCTGAATAGACAATTTTCCAAAGAGGATATACAGATGGCCAATAGACATATAAAAAATGCTCAATGTCACTAATCATCAGAGTAATGCAAATTAAAACCATAATGAGCCCTGGCTGGTATGGCTCAGTGGATTGAGTGCCAGCCTGCAAACCAGAGGGTCACTGGTTTGATTCCCAGTCAGGGTGCATGCCTGGGTTGAGGGCCAAGTCCCCAGTGGAGAATGCTCAAGAGGCAACTACACATTGATGTTTCTCTTTCTCCCTCCCTTCCCTAGTCTAAAAATAAATAAATAGAATCTTAAAAACAAAAATAGAACTGCCTTATGACCCAGCCATTCCACTTCTGACATGTATCCAAAGAAACCCAAAACACTAATTTGAAAGAAATACATGCACCCCATATACCCCTATGTTCATTGCAGGGTTATTTACAATCACTGAGATTTGGAAGCAGCCCAAATGCCTATCAGTAGAGTGGATAAAACAACTATGGGACATTTACACAGTGGAATACTTCTTGGCTGTCAAAAAGAAGGCAATCTTACCCTTTGCAACAGCATAGATGAACCCAGAGAGCATTATGCTAAGTGAAGTAAGCCAGTCAGAGAAAGACAAATATATGATTTCACTCATATGTGGACTCTAATGAATAAAATAAACTAACAAACCAAATAGAAACAGACTCAGAACAGATTGACAATTGTCAGGAGGGAAGGAGTAAATGGGGGTCTGGGTAAAAAGTGAAGAGATTAAGCAAAAAAAAAAGATGTATGATGAATTAATACCAAAACCAAATTAAAATGCCTAATTTAATTCTCTCTCTGTGTGCCTTTCCAGCAGAGCCCTCCACCCCATCAATGTAAAGCTGAGGACCCCACAGGTTGTGCACCAGAAAATCGGTTCTGGTCCTCGGCAGATGTGCGTCAGTACCAGCTACTAGAGAGCAGGATGGAGACCACACCTATAAATTCCCAGAAGGAGCTGTCAGTGTGTGAGGATGGAGAAGACTGTCAGGAAAATGGAGTTCTACAGAAGGGTGTCCCCGCCCCTGGGGATAAGGCGGAGTCCGGCCAGATCTCCAATGGGTACTCGGCAGTTCCGAGCCCCAGTGCAGGAGATGACACTCAGCACTCCATCCCGGCTGCCACCACCGCCCTAGTGGCTGAGGTTCACCAAGTGGAACGGGAGACCTGGGGCAAGAAGATGGATTTCCTCTTGTCAGTCATTGGCTATGCTGTGGACCTGGGCAATGTCTGGCGCTTTCCCTACATATGTTACCAGAATGGAGGGGGTCAGTATCTCGGGCCACGAGCAGGGGCTGTGATCTGGGTGGTCTGTAGAGGCTCTTAGGAGGCCAGAGGATAAGTGTATCTTTTCTATCTTGTTTAACTGGTAAGAGTTTGGGAACAAGTTGATTGCTTAGACTTAGAAGCTTATCTAAACAACAAAAAAATCTCCAGTTAGCCAACACTTGTAGTCTGCTTGTCTGAGGCTCTCTGGGCTATGAAGCTGGATGAACTCTCCCAAACCTGGCCACAGCAGATTTTCAACATCACCTGTGTGTTATCCAAGCTCCACCCTCCACCCAGCGAGATGTGGGGATGACCACAGCACTGGGCTGGCTTCTTCACTCCTGCTGGGAGGTCCTGCTCAGAAGAGTCGGAGAGGGTTGATCTGTGTAAGGAAGAATTGGGAGGTAGCTTTAGAGTCCAGGCTCTCCTAACCTTTGGACCTGTGTGAGATCAAAGAAGGGTTTTAACTCAGGTCCAGAGTCGGGGTTTTTTTTAAAAACTTTTATTTATTGATTTTAGAGAGAGAGTAAGGGAGAGAGAGAAACATTGATTTGTTGTTACTCACTTGTGCATTCATTGGATGATTCTTGTATGTGCCCTGACCAAGGACAGAACCTGTAACTTTGGTGTGTTTGGACAATGCTCTAACCAACTGAGCTACCTGGCCACTGTCCATATGCAGCCACAAAGATAGTTCTTGTTCCCAGGGCAGGAAGGGGAGCCCAGCGCTCCCTGCCTGGGAGGAGTGGAGGTTGGAATCACCTTCTCTGCAGTGTGAGAGGACTCACCTCTAGCCTGAGCATTACTTAAGGGGCCAGGTCACCTGTGCCACTTCCCCTGTACTCATTCCCTGCGGCGAAGCCAGGCAAGCAAACCCTTTGGACAAATGCCCCCCTGGCAATACAACATGGTTCTTAATCTCCATCCAGGTATCCCCCCAGTGATTGTAAGATAGGTGGGACCTTTCTGAGTTGCACTGGCTTCAGATTCCTAGGTTCAAAGCACTTCATGGGAAGGAAAGTTTGGGAAAAATCAAGTCAACCCATTCTTTGGACTAAAACTCAGGCTGCAGATGACCGATGTTTAACGTGGCATCAGCCGCGAAAGCCAGGCGACACCAGCATTGCCAGAGATGCAGGAGCTCCACCCTTTCTCAGTCTGACAAAGCACTCTGTCCAGCCACCCCTGCAAAAGTGACTCAGGAGGGAGCCTTCTGGCTTGGTGGAATTATGGGAAGTAGCTAAATATCGATAATCAAGTGTCTGGAGTCAGGGATAATACTGATGGGCAGAGACACCAATTCAGTGACTTACAGATAGATTATCACAGCTATTCAACAGGCTGACATGGGAGATCGGTCCCAAATGCTGGTACACATACTGGTTTCATCAGAATCACCTGGAGAGCCTAATTTTTTTCTCTTCTACCCCTACCTGGAGCCTCTGCTTCAGGAAGGCTGGCTGTGTGGGTGTTTTTAAACCTACCAGTGATTATGAGGGGTAGCTCTTCTCAAGTCCGTGATTTTACAGGGGAGGAGATACTCAGAAAGGGGATGCGGCCCAGGGTCCAGCAGGCGGTTAGAAGCGGAACCGGTCCCAGTGCCTGCCCTGTGGACTCGCACACCCGCTTTCGTTCAGGTTCTCTGCCTCCTCCAAACCTCACTTTGGCCCTGGAGCTGTGCCTCCTCCTACTTCTGGCAAGCACCACTGCCGGGGGGCCCAGTGTGAGGCCACACAGCATAAGGTGGCTTCATGGCACTCCCGCGTCAGGTGGCTCTGTGATTCTCAGTGTGGCCCCTGGTGTGTGGGTCAGTGGGCCCTCCCTGGGATAGATGCCGGCCGCGAGTAAAATTGTCTTTCATCTGCCCCAGGGGCGTTCCTCCTCCCCTACACCATCATGACCATTTTCGGGGGGATCCCGCTCTTCTATATGGAGCTCGCGCTGGGCCAGTACCACCGAAACGGATGCATTTCCATATGGAGGAAAATCTGCCCGATTTTCAAAGGTAACTGAGAGGCCTGAGTGGGTGGGTAGACGGTGGGTTTTCGGGGAAGTGGTGATTTCCATCCATGGCAGGGGATGTGGGGAGCTGGGGACCCCCCGGAATTAGTCAGGCCTTCTGTGACCCTGGGAGATAACTCGAGTACAGTGATTAAGTTTTTGACTGTTCACGTGGTGTAAGTATGTCAAAGGGAAACAGAATAAAGGGCAATTTAAACTAAATAGGAAAAGATGTAAAGCATTAACGGCACACACACACATTTTCTGAAACACCTAACCTTGCAAATTCGGATAACTCACCACGTTGCCACCTTTCCGCTGCCCGCTGGAGCCTTTGGGGAACAAAGCCAGTGGCAGCCCCTTCCCCTCTCCCAGCCGCAGCCCCCGCCAGGGCCGTGTCAGTCTTTCTCCGTAGGGCTGCCGTTCACTCCTGGCCCCCCTCGCCCCTGTCCCAGGGATCGGGTACGCCATCTGCATCATCGCCTTTTACATCGCCTCCTACTACAACACCATCATGGCCTGGGCGCTCTACTACCTCCTCTCCTCCTTCACCGACCGGCTGCCCTGGACCAGCTGCGAGAACTCCTGGAACACTGGCAACTGCACCAACTACTTCTCTGAAGGCAACATCACCTGGACACTCCACTCCACCTCCCCTGCGGAGGAATTTTACACGTAAGTGCCTAGAAGTGAGGGGTGGTCTGTTGAGGGCAGGCCACACCCCCAGCGTTTGGCTTCTTTGGAGGGAGGCCCAGCAGGGACGGTGGGAGCCGGACGTGGAGCTGAGGGACTCTGCCTTGAATGCGTCATCCCTGGCCCTCCGGACCATCTGGTCCTTTCCAGTGTGTCACGCCAGGATGATCCCTACCTTCACATTTCAAAATTACTCCCCTACTTCGAAACTGCCCTTCCTCCTGGGCCCTCCTCTCAGCTGGGTCACAGAAGCAAAGCCTCTGACCTCTTCGACAGTTTGAAACTGTTCACGTGGTTCCTGGTTTTATATGCTCACCTCATGTGGGAGCTACCCTTTGAAAGAAGATGCCTGCAGTGGGATGTATTCTTTAATGCTGGAATTTCAGGCAATGGCAGCCCAAAGGGAGTGCTCGTTTGGGTGGGAAAGGGGCCCACTGCCCACGCAGACAAATCCTCATGTCCTCCCAAGCCAGTCATGTCCGTCAGGTTTCCTGGTTGGCCAGGTCCGGGCCAGGTCTGAGCCAGGACAAATCTGCTTCTGGGCTGAGCATGTTTCCCAGGTTGGTCCGCTGAAGGTGCCGGCCTCTCCTTCAGGACAGGCAGAGCCAGTCCCAGCCCTGGCTGAGGCTTAGTGACTACATGGTGCCTGCAGTGTGGTGGCCACTGTTTCCCTTGGCGCCCTCCTGCAGGTGTGACCGGCAGTGCACCCTGCTCAGGGTTTGGACCATCTCACGGGCCTCTCCTTCTCTTTCGCCCCAGGCGCCACGTGCTGCAGATCCACCGGTCTAAGGGACTCCAGGACCTGGGGGGCATCAGCTGGCAGCTTGCCCTCTGCATCATGCTGATCTTCACTGTGATCTACTTTAGCATCTGGAAAGGTGTCAAAACATCTGGCAAGGTGAGGAGGACTCTGCTGACCCAGGCCAGGGGGCCCCAGAGCATCTCAATCTCAGACTCAGTGGCCCAGACGACTGCAGACAGACAGAGGGACAGTGTTTCCTTCTATACCGGACTCATTCCATGATACTCAGTCTCTCCTCACCAAATCTGGTAGAAAGTTCTAAAATGGGCCAATCCTAAGAACGAGTACATGATGTTTTTTTTAATTCCTTTTTAAAAAAAACCCACTGGTAATGTCACAGTCAATAATGATGGCAATAATTTATTGAAAGCCCTTTGAGGACCGTGTGCAGTGCTTTGTGTGCACTGGCTAGTTGTTCCCTGCTAGGTACGTCCCCCACTCACCGGAGGGGAGTGGGTTTAGAGACAGCTGGTGTCAGCAAGCGGTGAGTCAGACCCCTGGCTGGTTCTAAAGGCTGTGCTCTTTCCGCCACACCACCCTGCCCCCTAAAATTGCAGGGAAAAGGAAGGTGGATCTCCTTCCTGGGAGGTTTCCAAAAATAATGAACACCAGATTCCCCGTGGCGACAACCTGGTTTTCCTCGCTCACAGGTGGTGTGGGTGACTGCCACCTTCCCTTACATCATCCTTCTGGTCCTGCTGGTAAGGGGCGCCACCCTCCCCGGAGCCTGGAGGGGTATTCTCTACTACTTGAAACCCAACTGGCAGAAACTGCTGGAGACGGGGGTAAGGCGATGAGGGAAACGATGTGCACCCGTCTGTCCTTTTACCAAGTGAAGCTAGTCCTCTGAATAGGCTAGTGGCAACAACTAAACTTTGAGTGCCATGGCAGGTCTTGTGACAATGCTTTAAATCAGAAATGCCAGCATGAAAAGTACAGTTGAGGTCACTGGGTCAGTCAATGCCTACACGATGGGAAGAGAAATCGCATTTGCTTGCACTCGGTATGGGGCCGCCCCTGGGATGAGCCTTGAGAGCTGTCTCTCTGTGTCTGCACACAGCCACCCAGAGGTGTGAGCACGCGGGCCCTGCTGGCACCCGGCATCCGCCCAGGTCTTGGCCCTCACCCTCCCTCTGCTGTGTTCCAGGTGTGGGTGGATGCTGCCGCTCAGATCTTCTTCTCTCTTGGTCCTGGCTTTGGGGTCCTGCTGGCTTTTGCTAGCTACAACAAATTCAACAACAACTGTTATCAGTGAGTACCAGGGCACCCTCTCCCCAGGTAAAGCTTAAAGGCGGGTTGTAAGTGAGTTGGTCTAGAGGAAGGCTGGGCTCCGGCCATGTTACCCTGTGACCCTCAGGGGTGCCACCGGTCCCTGACCAGTTCACCCATGGGCAGAGCCTCACCTGGGCCACTCAGGGGTTGAGAGTGGCCCCAGGCCAATTCTGTTTTGTGACAGTCTCTGTATATTTAAAAAAACTAGCCCTGGCTGCTGTGACTCAGTGGATTGAGTGCTGGCTTGTGAACCGAAAGGTCACTGGCTCAATTCCCAGTCAGGGCACATGCCTGGGTTGCAGGCCGGATCCTGGCTGAGGCCATGTGAGAGGCAACCAATTGATGTATCTCTCAAACATTGATGTTTCTCTCCCTCTCTTTCTCCTTCCCTTCCCCTCTCTTTAAAAATGAATAAGTAAAATCTTTTAAAAAAACATTGAAGTTCTCCAAATAAAATATGCAAGGATTTTTTTGATAAGCATTGAGAAAGAAAAATTAAGTAGGAAAATTTAAAGCAGGCTTTACAAAAGTTGCAATAGACACTAAGTGTTTAGACTTGTATTCAACACAACTATAATGTGATAATTTGTGTATGTATATGTACACAAAATATATAATGATTAAACTATTTTGATCAACACAAAATGCCATAATTTTTGTGGCGAAAATCTCATTGCAGAAGTGTTGACAAAACAGAGTGATTTAGGTGTCACTCGTCATCTTTAGAGCTTTGTTTTAATGTTCCATCACAGATGGCAAGGTGCAGCAATGGAAGTAAGCTGCTCGTAAGATAGTTACAGAAGTTTTTTTTTTTAAATTCACATGCAGTGTGGCCCTAAGCAATGTGGCTTTCTGTGGGGACACCAGCCGGAAGTCCTGTGGCGAGTTCTGTTCAAAGTGTCAGGATATCCCTGTGGCAGTGTTGTAACCTCATTTGCATGAAATGTCAAAAGTCTAAATCTGAGGATTTCACCAGCATGAGACCAAGGCCCGCTGCTGGCTCCCACCCCAGCCCAGGCCACGCTGCAGAGCAAGCTGGTGAGAGGCCTGTGCTGGCTCACAACAGGCCCATACTCAACACCACACCCCCCGCGCCATGAGGATGCCAGCTTGTGTGTCTCAGGCTGATGCAATTCATTTGAGAGGCCAGGCACAGGGAGGAGGAGAAAGGGACACCAGGACTAGCTTAGAGTCCCTGTGAGCTCAGCCTGTTCCCCCTGCCTCAGCAGGAGACAGATGCCCCTTAGACCCCTGACTTGCAAATGACTCTGCTCCCTGGGGTTTTCTGCTCCAGAGACGCCCTGGTGACCAGCACGGTGAACTGCCTGACGAGCTTCGTTTCAGGATTTGTCATTTTCACGGTGCTTGGTTATATGGCCGAGATGAGGAAGGAGGATGTGTCCGAGGTGGCCAAAGATGCAGGTAGGCCCTAGGTTCTGTTTCAGTCCCTTGTTCCCACTGAGTTGCTTTGCTGCTCTTTGGATGTTTCCAATATCTAACATTGGGATAATTTCTAAGTGTTTCTTTAAAAAATTTCAAAGATTTTAGAGAACTGTAATGCCTTGGAGATCTTGGCCCTTTCCAGGTGTTTAGGCCGTGGTGCTCGGGCCTCGAGTACACTGTGGGCTCCTCCTCTCTCCCCTCTGTCTCAGGCCCCAGCCTCCTCTTCATCACATATGCAGAAGCCATAGCCAACATGCCGGCGTCCACCTTCTTCTCCATCATCTTCTTCTTGATGCTGATCACGCTGGGCTTGGATAGCACGGTGAGTGAATGGGGGAGGGAAAGCTACTTCTGGGAGGAGGAAGTGTGGGAGGGAGAGGAGGGGGAGGAGGAAGGAGAGAAGAAAGAGGAATTTGTGCCCCTTCCCTCTGGCCACCCTGGGCGGCGTTGGCCACTCCCCACTGGTGCTCCCCCAGCCCCTTGTTCATGCCTCGTCAACTGCACGTGCCACCGTCCAGCACCTGAGAGAGCCGCTAATGAATTAATGGGGTAATGACTGTGTGTACATACCCAGGCACAGGCCAGGGCCTCTGCATATGGCCACTGTTCGTATTGTGCACTGTCCCTTGAGCGGATGACAGCACCTCAAATGTCTCGCTCTCATGTCTCAGTGCCCTGCCACCCAGCATTCACCTCAGCGTCTGGCACTTAGTGTGGAAGGAGTCTCAGCTTGGAGGTGGCCTTTCTGGTGCAACCAAAGCCTCCCCAAGAGACCTCACCTGGAAAAGCCCTGTCCGTGTGCTCTAGTTTCTTTCCTTCATGATCTGTAGGGATTGGTTCTAAATGACAGTGTAAACAGGAAAAGGTATTCCCAGTGAGGGCTGGTGAGTAGGAGGAACAGGTCTCCCAGTGAGGGCTGGTGAGTAGGTCAGCTTGACTGGTCACTGGACAATCTTAGCCCCTCCCTCTTGCTCACTGTCCTGGAAGGTAGGTAACAGGTTTGTCCCAAAGCCTCCCCTGCGACCATTTGTGTGACCCTCTCAGTTTGCAGGCTTGGAGGGGGTGATCACAGCTGTGCTGGATGAGTTTCCGCACACCTGGTCCAAGCGCCGGGAGTTGTTCGTGCTCTGTGTGGTCGTTGCCTGCTTCTTCGGGTCCCTGGTCACCCTGACTTTCGTGAGTACCACAACCCTCAGCCTTGAGTCAGCCTCCCTGGGGGCAACAGAATGTACAGGAAGCCATTCCTTTCCTTCCGTCCCACAAGGTGCTCTGGCTTTGGGGTCAAAGGGAGGGCTTAGAAAAAGTTTGTCATCAAGGATAAAAAGAAAAAGTTGTTTCTGGGGGCATCTGTCTGTAGACTTTCTGTGAGGCATCTGAAGGCTCTTTACATTTTACAGTAGATTCAATTCAATTTCAGGTTTGACGGAATGTCTGGAGAAAAACTAAAGGTTGCTTTTCCAGTTTAATTCCAGTCCTCGGGGCTGCATTCTTGACAACATCGCATCAGATAGGACCCGCAGAAACCTGGGCTATGTCCTGACTCGAGGCAGATGTTGCAGATACGCCTCTTTGAGCCGTGACGCCAGTGTCTGTGAAGCTTCAGGAGGGTGCGGGGCCTCTGAGTAGGACCCAAGGGATTTGGGGGTTAGGACAGAAGACCGAACTGATCAGTGCGCTTGGTGGGTCTGGTGTTGTGCACGGTCCTAGATTCAGTCTTTAGGGACCAGGGTTCTCCAAGGTGGAGTGAGTACACAGCTGGTTTTTAGTAAATTGAGTAAAGTTGAACATAGATCAAGGCCCACTTGAGTTTGTCTCTTACAACTTGGTGGGCAGCCCTGGCTCTGTGGCCCAGTTGGTTGGGGCATCATCCGATACACCAAAAGTTGCAGGTTCGATCCCCAGTCAGGGTGTGTACAGGAGGTACCCAACTGATATGTCTCCTGCTCTCTCTAAAATAAATAAGCATGTCCTTGGGTGAGGATTAAAAACAAACAAACAACTTAGTGCAGAGAGGAAGCAAGACAAGGAGAGTGCCCCTTGAGAAAGGAAGAGGCCTCAGAAGCGGTGGGATCTGGCCCGTCCTAAGAAGGCCAGTCTAAGAGGCAGGCTTTCAGATACTTCAGTGGGGCCCAAAGTGGGATTTTTCCAGAATTATCCTTAGTTTAAAAGCTTCTTTTGGCCCCTATGGTAGAGAGGAGACATGCCCCAGAGGGCCCTTATCCGGGTGGTGGTCTCATTTGCAGGGAGGGGCCTATGTGGTGAAGCTGCTGGAGGAATACGCCACGGGGCCGGCTGTGCTCACCGTGGTGCTGATAGAAGCAGTCGCCGTGTGCTGGTTCTATGGTAAGACACCTCCCCCACCCCCTTGGTCCTTTCCACAGACAGCAGCCCGTAGCCACCAGGAAAGAGAAGGACTGACTTCAGGAAAGGGCAGGGTGTGTCACCTCCCGGAGGGCCTGTAAGGGAAGCTCAGCTTAGTGCCTTCTTTGGAAACATGTCATTGTCTCCTCTGCACTCTACACCACGGATTGCTCAGTGCCTTGGGAAGGCGTGTTTTCCTTCCCAGTTTAAATGTTTCCCCAGTGGAGACAGGCTGAAGCGGTTCCCTTTAGCTCCTCCATGGTGGAGGCTTAAGACCCTGACTGGCTCTAAGAATTGGACCGAATGCAAAGAACTGGTGCACAGTGACTGTGTCTGCAGAGTGGACTGTATCCTCCTGTTCTATAGAGTGGCCCTCAGTTTACGTTTCATAAGCAAGAGCTCCCTCCAGAGCCCTGAGGCAGAGTTTAGGAGCTATGTTCTAGGGCAGAGGCAAGACTGTGCCTGTTTGGATTGTCTGCCCAGGAAAAGCCCGCTCTGACCCTGGGATGGAATCTGATAAGGATGAAACCACCAGGAGCTCAGAGAGTGAGCTGACGCGGGTCTGTGGGCAGGGGTCCCAGGAGCCCCTGGGTGGGGGTGGGAGGGGTGGGGAGGACACAGGCAGCTGAAGTGACAACCAGGTTCTGAGATGGCTGTCTTCATCTTTAAAATCAAGAAATGATTACTTCATACTGAAAAATGTGTTTTTCCCTAGTTTCTATGAAAATTAAACAGCGTTAGCATGTTTGTCGTTATGCATAATGTGAAGAAGAGGCCCCCATATTTTGAGTGGCACATGAGTCCAGTTTTTTAAAATGAAGTCCTCCCCGGCTCCTCAGCGATTCAGATGACAAAGTTCAAGTGTGTGGCTCACTAGAGACCTACCCCAGGTGTTGCTGGACGCTCTCAGGGAGCGAGCGCAGAGCAGCCCTCCTGCCCCTTCTCAGTTCCTCACCAGAGTCTGCTTCTCCCTTCTATGTCAGTTACTTTTATAGAAGAACCTTGACTGTGAACAGGACACTGATTAGGCCGCACTATGGTTAAAATTTTCTCTTGGGAAGTTTTCCATACATGGTTATATGGTCAAAGTCAGTCTCTGTCGAGCGGGTCTATCATTTCTAAACAAAATTTAACTTTTTTTTTCTGCAGTACCAATAAAATAAAGTGTACGTTGAGATCTTAGAAAGGCAGTGTGGGCACCAAGAGGGAGCTTCGGGTCCCTCCCCAAATGTCCACCTACTTGCCCACTGTATAGACAGAACATTGCTTGCTATGAAATGCAGTTCTGTGACAAGCTCCCTGTCCCACGGTCAGAGCAGATTGGCGCCCTGAACCCCCTCCATGAGAACTTTCAGAGCTGACCCTTTCTCTGAGAATCAAGGGATCGGACAATCCCTGTCCCCTCACAGTCCATCAGTCTTTCTCTTCCGGATCATTTTAGGCGTCACTCAGTTCTGCAGCGACGTGAAGGAAATGCTGGGCTTCAGCCCTGGGTGGTTTTGGAGGATCTGCTGGGTGGCCGTCAGCCCCCTGTTTCTCCTGGTGAGTTGCCATTTCCCTTCTCCTTCTGGCCCTGGAGAAAGATCCACTCAAACACTATAAAAGATAAATTTAATTGAAGTATAACATACACACAGAAAAGAGCACAAATCCATGAAATTTTATAAATAGAACATAGTTTTGTACCCAAAACTAAGAAACAAAAACACAACAGAAGCCCCGCTGTGTCCCCCTCAGTTACTGCCCCTGTCCCCGCCACGGTTAACCACTCTTCTAACTTCTGACACCATAACGTCTGGGCTTGAGTTACCTTATTGCTTACTCTCCTGTCCAGTGATAAGGATAAATAACATTTATTGAACATTAAGTGCCAGGCCAGACTCAGTGTAAAACTTAATCCTCAGTTCTAATACACTGTTTACAGTTAAGGAAATTGAGGCTTAGAGATGTGAAGTAAAGGGCCCCACATCACATGACCAGAACCTTTGAAGGCCCAGGAAAAATTCACTGCACTGCTTAGGGCAGGGTCCTAGTGATAATCCTGTGTCCATTTTCTTAAAGATGCCCCAGGCAAAGGCCCTCAAGCGTGACCTGAATCAAAAGTAGAATCCATTTACTGCCAGAAGACCGGGGTGAGAAAGTTCAGCTGCGAGGGGGGCCCATCCACCCAGCTGTGTTCAGTGTTTCATTGCTGCACGTGCCCCTGCGTTCCCTCCCGGTGTCCCCCTGAGGGACATGTTTGCCCAAAGATGGAAACGCCCTGCTAACATCCCAAGTGCGCTTGGAGATGCCTGGGGTGAAGTGACGCTGTGCACATCAGCAGGGACCATGTCTTGCCCTTCCATTTATCTGTGCTTTCATTTTTATGGGGGCAGGGGCGTGCTTTTGATCTTGGAGAGGCAGAAACTTCATAGACTTCCTCCAGTCTAGCTCCAGCCCGTGAGGAGTGTCGGGCCGTCCCTGTGCCTTAGATCATCTCTGCCTTTGGCACCCAGCCGTGCCTTCCCCTTTTTGAAAGCAGCCCTTTTGGTGATGTTTGACTTTCTCAGGGCAGCCCTTTATTTTTTGTACTTTTTATAGCACACGTTAATCTACGAGATGAGTGATAGGCTCACCTTGCCTTTGCAATGCTGCATGTGCCTCCCCAGAATTCCTCCTTGACTTGCTTTCCTTCCCCAGGACTGCGGAGGTTTCCAAAACCAAAGCCAGCCCGAGCCCAGGAAGCCTCAGGGCCCGGTGCCGTAGTGTGGGTGCTGGGCTCCAGCGTCCCCCCAATTCTCGACCCAGTAGTTCCTTATTACCTTGTCAACTCCCTGTTGCTTTTAGATAAATTAAAAGCATATATATTTTTAAGTCTAGAAATTTTAGTTGTTTTCAATGAGCGGGTTGGTCTAAATCACCTCGCCTGCCATTATTAGAAGCAGAAGCCCTGACGTAAATGGGTTATTAATTGATATTATTACCAGTGCTTCTCCGTAATCTACTTAAATCCTTTTATGTGTTTTTCAAAGGAAGGAGAGAAGCACTGGATTAGTTCCTTGAGGGAAGTGTCCTGTTTGTCTCCCGCACACACAGGCTGAAATTCAGGAGAGGCACCCAAGGCACTCAGCGCAGGCATCAAATTTAAGGGGGCGCCCAAAATCTCAGTAATCAAGAGAAAACCTATTTTATTGCGATGTTTTAAAAACCAAATTAATGCAGAAAATATTCCTGATGAACGCAATGTCAACATTTTAAACAGGGACAGGATCTGACGCTGTACCTCACCCACCTTACCCTACTTGGGCCCCGTCGGAGTCTGTCTTTTTACCACGTTGCACTCAAATATTATTTGTCTCGGTTACCGAAGTTTTGCCTCCCACCCCTTGGGAAGTGTTGGGCCTGGGCCGAGTGCCTCACAGGTCTCACCCCGGTCCTGGCTCCAGGCCTTTACTGTTCTCATTTCTGCAAACTGCTGCTTGCCTGGCAGACTGGGTGAGCTCTTGCTGGGCAGTCAGTGAGGTTTGGTGCCCAGCAAAACCCAGGCACAGGTCTGGTTCATGCACGTTACTCATAATTCTTGTGATGTTCCCTTTACTCACTTCCCCTAAAGGCAAGTGCTCTGGGTCACACTGTAGAGGGGGTAAGTCTGTCTCCCGCTTCTGGGTTTACTTAACAGATGCCCTGCTCTGGGCTTTTTATGGCTGCTTTAGGTAAACAATGAGTAGCCTACTAAAAATATTCTTTTTCACCGAAGCCAAGTTACAAAAAAAGAAAATATTGTGTATGAGCAAGGAGAGGCTGGGGCACGCAAAGGGGGTGCCTGACACAACCCTTACTGGCCTTGATGAGAGTCTGGGGCCTCCCTGAATCGTGCCGGGTTTCATGCCCAGCATCAGGATGAGACGCAGGGATGGCTCCTAACCAGACTCTTTTCCCTGTTCCCAAACTATCTTCCTTGGTAGTTGGTGTGGGAGTGGGGAGAGTAAGTCCAGAGAAAGGGCTGTGGTTGGCTGGTCTCCTGTTTTGAAAGCTGCCCCCTGGACTTAGGGTAACACCGCTCAGAAGATGGATGTGTGTTTATTATTAATAATAGTGTCTCATTTTATTACCTGCAGACAAAGAAAAAAAAGATATAAATAGATGTTTAACCACACAAATAATTTACATTACTGTCTTCTTCATGACCATGAAATAAAATTAAATGAAATCAAGAGCAATAACTGTTTCAGCGCAGTGGTTACTAGGCAAAAACCGATATTTACGCTCTCTCTGGAAACCAAACTGAAAGAAGAAAACTCATAAACTGTGTGTTTGGGAGCACACCGTGGAATTTTTCTTGGTCAAAATTTTCACTGAATATTCAAGTAAACAATGTAGTAAACTGCTTTTCCCTTCCTTTTCTTTCATTACAAGGGCCTGTGGCAGGTGGTCATGCCTTGCTGAGCCGCCTCATGGCACAGCCGTCCTTGTTGAAACCCCAGGCCAAGGTGCTTAATGGAGAGAGCAGAGGGCCCAGGGCAGGGCACAGAAGGAACACATGCCCCACAGCCCGAGTCTTCCTCAGGTCTTGAGAACCTTATTATCTCTCCTGGTCTTAGGTACCTTTCCTCTGACAATCACAGCTCAGGAATGCAGGCAGAAATGAAAGCAGAGAAATAGGAAGCCCTAGGCTTGTCAGGGGCTGGGGTGAGGCCCCCCTCCCCCCACTTCTGATAAGAGGGGCCCAAACCACTTCTGATGAAAGTCAATCCCTCTCCCTTTGCCCTGAAGAGGGTGCTGTGGCTTCTTTAAATAGCATTCTGAGGTCTTTGCATCCCCACTGCAGAAGTTGAGGTGGGAGGTAGGGAGGAAAAATCAAAATAAACATCTGGCTATTTTACTTTTTGCAGATAATCAGGCACAGAAATCAGTGAATTTTGTGTGCCAGAGTTGAATTTAAGATATGTCACATTTTGGGAATTTCCCAGAAGTATCTTAGCTTTACATACGGTGTTCATGATATCAGAACTGTCTCGAGCTGCTCAGATATCGTTAAGATTTCTGATGTTTCTTGGAACTTCTGTTTTAGTTCATCATTTGCAGCTTTTTGATGAGCCCGCCACAGCTGCGACTTTTCCAGTACACGTATCCTCACTGGAGTGTCATCCTGGGTTACTGCATAGGGACCTCGTCTTTCATCTGCATCCCCACCTACATCACGTACCGGCTGCTCATCACTCCGGGGACACTGAAGGAAGTATGTGCTAGTGTGTGTGTGCGTGTCTTCAGACTGCTCACTGTTTTGGGAGAAAAGGGGTCCCTTGTTATGTGCTTTTCACAGGAGATAAAAGTCCACCACACGAAACTCACCTTATATATTTCCAGAACATACACCAGGGAGATCTCTACAGGCCGTCACCGTCATCTTAAGGCATTTCCCATAATCCTCTAGTACAGCGGCGAAGGAGCGCGCTGGTCATCTGGAACCGTGGGGTGTGCGTAGCATCCCAAACTTACCAGATAACTAACTCATCAAGTCGGTGGTGCCTGGGGTCCGGCACAAATCTTGATCTAATTGGAGGTTATGGTGGAAAATGTCCATGGTCATCTTTCTAACAGCAATGTAATGAGGGTTATTTTGAAAATCACCGTGAAATAGGATGTTGCAATAATATAGTTTTAGCTCAAGTCATTGGAGTAGAAAATCAAGGTGCCATTATAGCAAGACTCATTTCAGCAATGAATAATGAGCTATAAAATTTTTAATAACAGAAACTTACAATTGGTGTAAAACTTTTTATATTTTTCAAAGCATCTTCATGGACATGACCCCATTTTGTTATCAAAATAGCTCGTGAGCAGATGGGCAGGTATTGTTGCAGACACAGACACTGAGGATGGGAATGATGCTCCAAGTGTCCTTATCTCAGTGACTGGTCCAAGGACACTCAGTACAGGGAGGCTTTGAATCTAAGTCTGCTGATTCCTGGGCCAAAGCCCTTTTGCTTTAGGTGCCATTCCCCTTTTATTCTCAGTTTCCATTAGTAGTTTATTAGTGTAGCAGTTGGTGCTAGAAGTTAGGGAGAGATGAGTTGCCATTTTTAGAAATCCACACCCGAGGACATATCAATTGATTTATTGATTTTAGAGAGAGAGAGAGACAGATAGACAGATACAGTGGTGTGAGAGAAACAACATTAATGGGTTGCCTCCTGTATGCATCCTGACTGGGGATCGAACCCATGATCTTTTGGTGTACAGGATGACACTCTGACCAACTGAGCCCCCGGCCATAAAAAAAAAAAAGGGCGAATTGCCATTTTTTATGCTGTGTTGCTAGAATTAGGAGTTCAGGTCACTTTAAAGTATGTGACCTGAACACTGGGCACTTTTGTAGCAAACTTGTTCAAAAGGGAAGAATGGTATTTTGGGAAAGCTAGAAGGGACCATACTCTCTAATGACCTGAGAACTGAGACGGGCTGGTCTGTGGACTCGTAGAAGCAAAACTCAAACATGAGACCAACACACTCATCTTCCTACAACATTTTGTAAGAGACGTGAAACAAGAAAATGTGAGGCAATGGAGCATCAGCTTTTCCTGAGAACTTAGTTCATTTCTTTTTCCAGACAGGAAAACTGAATGCTAGGTGAACAGAATCTGCAAGGAGTTACTAATTTCCCACACTCAAACCAGTCCTGTCACCACCTCATTTGTCCCAAAGGGCCTTGAACTCTGGAGTTGCCTGAAACACATGCTCAGACATTGAGTCATTGAATTTGTTTCTTCAGGTTGTCCTTCAGGCAGTCAGGATAGTCCACTGGTTCTACCATCACCAATCGGGAGGCCAGGGTCAGGGGTAGGAACTCAGATTAATAAATGCCAGTATTCTTTGGTCACAGACTGTACCTCAAATCATGGTCATTTTTCTTGCAAATTCTGCCTGCTGGCCATGAGGAAATACCACACAAAGGTGCATCATTCACAGCTCAGATCCATTACTAACCGCGGTCAGGCTGATTGTGGGCCATCGTGATGCAGCCAGCCAAGGAGGACGAGGAGGGAAAAGACCTGGTCAGCTATGGCAATTGCTCACCTTCCCTGGACTGCAGTGTCTACATCTTTAAGATGTGTTGTTGGACTGGGTTAACATTTCCCAAATGTTAACGTGGTGTGAAGGGCAGTAGTTCCATAGAATAGCAACAGGCAGTGCTGCTGGAAGAAAAGTTTATGAGCAAGTTAAATATGTTTCTTTACTGTGGCACTTAAAAGCCTTAATATGCCCATGTGTGTGCTTAATCTCCAAGAGGGTTAAAGCATGCCATGTTTTCTGCCAAGAACATTGAGGGACTGTACTTCTTCCGGGAGTACCATACTTGCTGGTCTGTAACATGCTATGAGGGAGGGAGGCCTCACATGAAATTTTGATAAGGTTTAAAAAAAAGACTAAAAGAAAGGTCAGTTTCTTAACTCTTTGGGCCCTGGCCACACAAAGTTGGAGTCTGGGGAGTGAGCCACCACTTGCCACCTGGGATTTGGAGGGTATCATATTCACCTGCAGCCTGGAAGTCTCAACTCAGGCCCTTCACAGAAGTCCCTGGTCCTCTGCACAAAGATCCAGGTCCCTAATAAGGAAGCATCCAACAGTGATCCATTTCTTAGATTATCATCTTGCAGGAGGCCAGGGCCGGGAAATTTTAAGACCAATAATAGTCTGGCAACTGAAATGTGGCCAAAATGTGAAAACGAAGGGGGAACCAGCAGGTAGAGGGGCAGCAGAATGGGTGGGTGGGGGCCAGGGCACAAAAACCAAGTAAGTGTTCTACTTTACAATGTGGTACATCGTGGACCCTGACTCCACCGCACCCCTTAGTGCTCTCTTCTCCTTCCCAACACTTAGACTAGTTACTTAGAATGCTGAGTCCAGTTCCCAATTAGCAAGATGTAATTCTGTGCAATCAGCTCCCATATTCTATCCAATCAGCTTACATAATTCTGTGTGATCAGGTTACACATTTCATCTGTGGGGAAGGATGGTTTGTGAAAAGTTGCTTTCTATGACTTACACACGTCAACTCCTTTTAAATGGGTTTCCAGTGTGAGAGTACAGTGCTTGAATACTAAGGTCATCAGGAACACAACATGTAAAACTTTGTGAATTTCATTAACTATAAGAATGGCACTTTTTGAATTCCACAGGCCCTGTGCCTTAAAGAAGAACAAACTTCCAGAACGAGGAAATAAAAAAGGACTAGCCTGCTTTTCTAATCCCAAATTAAAAGAGCACTTACTAGAGCTTCACCTAAAAGCAGTAAATTAAAAGATGCGTTCAGATCCAATTTTGCCTGCTTACCACATGGACAGACTTTGCCGTCCAAGACCTTACAAAGCAACTGAAAGATTTTTCTAAGCCTCTGCAGTGCTGCTGCTTTTCCTTCTCAGCATCTGGAGCTGCTTCATGTCACCTTGATGCTTTTACAATGCGGACTATACATTTCATACACAATCCCGAGCGTAGTTCAGATCTGTCTTAACACGTCTGCGAGCCTCAGCTGTTTCTAATGTAAAAATTCTCACCCTTTTCCCTGTGATGAGTATTACATCAGCATGAGATCAGGAGTGATTTCAATGCTCGCATCTTTTTAAGTGTAATTATGTGATGATTTGCACCCTTGTATGAACTTGCAATGCACCTCAACAGGTGGATTCATTAAGTCAGTAACATCCTGGCTCTTCCGTGGCTGATGGCACACACACTGTCCCTGCAGCGTGTATGCAGGCCTGAGGGGAGGGTGCCAGAATCCAGCACCCCTTCTGCTCCCCAAGCCCTACTGGCCACAGGAAACCTCCTCCTTCCACAGGAAAACATGAGTTTTCCCACCTCATCAAAGGCACGTGATAGGCCAGCAGAGGTTCTATTGAAGTTTCCTCATTTTCTCCCGTTAGTGATACAATGACTTGCATAATTAGTTTATAGATGCTTATGGTTCCTGAATATTAAATTTTAATTCACACTTGAGAATGAATTGGTAATTCTTAAGGAAAGTCAATAAGACAATTTCAATTTACTATTAATGCTATTTTGAACTTTTAATATTAATGTTGAAATACTTTTCCAATATTGTTAAATTATAAGCATGTTTGTAACACCCTATTTCCTTCCCAACAGCGTATTATTAAAAGTATCACTCCAGAAACACAAACAGAAATTCCCTGTGGGGACATCCGCTTGAAGGCCATTTAAAACCTTCAACCAGAGGAAAACAGCTCCCCAAACCTCCTCCTCCAGTTCTGACAAGTCACGCCTCGCCTTCTCCCTCTGTCAACAAGTTTGCAGCTAAGCCTGACCATGGAAAGGCCGTCTTCACAGGGACAGAGTCCCAAAAGACTATGGTGCCCAGACTCCTAAGGCTCCCAGCCACGTCTTTCTGTGAAATCTCCTGGACATTTACCATGTTAGACTCTGATGCAGCTGAACTGGACTAGTTTGGATGTGTGAGCATGTGTATGGAGGTGATTAAAAGCACCATATAATCAGTTAGGATTTAGTTTAGAATCAAGTCTGTGAACAGCTCCTATATCATTTCTCATGATGATCATTGGTATCTGATATGTTTCCTTCTAAATTTTTCATTGTTCATGGATGCATAAACTGTGTAGGAATAAACAGGGGTGCTGTCTTGCTAGCCACATATTTTCTGAGTAGCATAGAATTCTGTAGCTGGATCTACTACAACTCTATAACCCATGTGCTACTGTGGAGTCAGGAGAGGAAGGTATAAGAAACGTGTACATGTGAGTATATGTGTGTACTGTTTCAGTGTATGCTTATCTTTATTCCAATACTTTGAGTCTATTATAAACTATATGGATTTCTCCTAATTTTTCTTACGTTAATCAATTCGACCTACTCAAATGTGTATGTATGTTATTATTTGAAAAGTATAATTACTACCACATGCTCTGCCACCTTCTCCTTTTCCAGGGACACTACTTGGGCCCACACACCTTGCCTTGTGGGCCAGCCTTCTGAACTTTATTCTCATCTTCTAGTCTCTCTCTGCTAAACATTTAGTATAGTGTTCCACAGGCAAATCTGGTTTATTTCATTAGTCACTGTGGCTTGACCATGAACTACTTTGAAGGTGGATATTGACAAATGCATCTTCAGTGTTCAGTTGGCCAATTTAAGCTCTGTAGACTTCAAATGGCTTGAGTCTAACAGTAGAGGTCACTTTGCTTTGTGAAGAAAGGATGAATCCAATTCTCATATACAAGGTACATAGATTTGGAACCCTGACCTAAGCCAAGGTCATCCTCAATCAGAAAGTGATTAGACAGTCTAGTACCCTAGTGCCTTAAGTGAACACTCATCCTCCCCCCCCCCCCCCCCAGCCCCTTGACCCTTCCTGGTTGACTGCCAGAACTGTGAGCCCTCCGGATAATTTTCAAGACTGAGTCTAAGTAAGGCTGATGGGAGAAGGATCAGTTAAATGAATAACCTTTCAAGTTCCACATATAGCCTTTAATACAAATCAAGTAAATTTGACCTTCAGTGGCTTATGGCTCCCAGATGCATAGTCAGAGAAGCAAATTTTACCTTGTGTGAGATTTCCTTATCAAAATCTTAAGGGGAATAAAGCCTAGTCAATGATAAAACAACTCAGTTACCTAGTTCCATATCACCTGAGTCCTATATAGAAATCAAACTCAATTCTAACAACCTTAGAGAAAGAAGATCCATATAGTAGAGGTCTGGTTTTATTTGTTTATAGTTCTTCCTCCCGTGGCCCCCTCCCCCAGCAATCTTCCCTGGCCTCCTTGTCTTCCCCTACAACCTTCTGTTTCTGATACTTTGTTTTTCCAGCAGGATTTTTTTCTCCTTACAGAGGATAGTGGCCGAGTTTCCAAAACATTACAGGAAAAGAGGAGGGGGATTGAAAAATACTCCGTATTGACCTGCCTTCATTATCTTCCCTCTTTTATTCCTTCTTGCTTCCTCATTTCCATTCTCTTTGCTTTCTAACATGGGTACAGGTTATATAAGGGGCAGCATAATCAGTGTCAATAGCTTTGCAAATTTTAAAACTTGATCTGGATATGGATTCTCACCATCCCACACACACTTATTCTCCAAAGATATTTCTTAAAAATCATCTTTTCAAACAGAATTTAAAAACAAAAAACAGATTTAGATTTTTGCCAATATAGGTATTAAGGGGGTTATATACTTGTTTTCAGAGTTTTTCACCTGGCTGGTTTAGCTCAGTGGATTGAGAACGGGCCTGTGAACCACACGATCGCGGATCAATTCCCAGTCAGGGCACATGCTTGGGTTGCAGGCCGGTTCCCTGCAGGCCAGTTCCCAGCAGGGGATGCACGAAAGGCAACCATACATTGATGTTTCTCTCCCTCTCTCCTTCCCCTCTAATGATAAATAAATAAAATCTTAAAAAAAATAAGTAAAAGTTTTTCAAATTTCACTAGACTTAAAAAAAAAACCCTAAATATCTGTTCTGCATAGTTTGCATTTACCTGGCTCCTATTTATCAATACTACGTGGGCTTTTTAAAAGATTTTATTTATTTTTAGAGAGAGATGGCGGGACATGGCCATCTTTCTTTTAGAGAGAGAAACATTGATGTGGGACAGAAACATTGATTATTTGCCTCTCACACGCCCCCAACTGGGGACCTGACCCTCAACCCCGGCATATGCCCTGACCTAGAATCAAACTGGAGAACTTCTGGCTTGCAGGACCACACCCAACCCACTGAGCCACACCAGTCAGGGATACATGGGTTTTTTTTCTTTCTAAAGAAAGACTTAAGAGTAGGTAGACGGACTTGAAAATAATCTTCTAAGACGTTTACATCTAATGTAGCATTTACATAAAAGTAAAAATAAAAGTAGAATTGAGTTGTAAAGTTACTTAAGTACTGAAGTTAATTTTTTTCTGTTTTTGTTAGTAAGAAATAGACAAGACACAAGACAAAGGAATGGGGGTGATTCACTTGATTGAGGTTATTTCCTATGTTGATGTGCAATGAAGTGCAAAGGATTAAATTCCCTTCCAGGAAACATATAACCCATTTACAACTCAGTCCATTTGTTACATGGAACACATATAACTCATAACCTAAATTCATTTCCATAGCTGCCCCATCTAGAGATGGATGCAAAGATGCTGACAAATCCAAAGTCAATAGAATAGCTCTCAAATCAAATAATGAAATCTCAAAATAAGGCCAAAAGTTACTCTGAGTCACTCCCTCTCCAGCCTCTTTACTAAACTGGTTAATTTGGTGTCGCCGATCTCAAAATTTAAGTGAGTTTCCACCCAACTCACATGCCCACCCCTCAAAAGGGAGATTCTTCTCCTATAATTAGAATTGTATTCTTTCTGATAAGTAGGAAAGACTGACCTGATTTTTCTGTCTGTTCTATAACTGCTTTGGAGTTCACTGCCAAAGCACAGGTTAAAACTATGTAATGCAATGTCTTAACCGTGCTGTTCTCAGACATCTTAGACAATGCTTAGTTACCCAATGGCACCAGCCAAGCCTGGTTCCTTTCTCAGCATGCCTCTTTACTCATAAGTCAACAGCTGGTGCTTAAGATACCATTAAACACAGTAGTGATCAGAGGGCACTTTCACCATCTCCCCCCTCCTTTCTTCTGTTAGGGACCAGTGGAGAAGAGGAGCAGTAGGTTCCTCACAGAAACTATGCTACAACCTGTCATCCCCATCGGTGATGTAATAAAAGCAAAACAGTCATGCTTAGTGAGAAGAAGTTGTGTATTTTAAAGTCATCATGGAGGTCACACATTTAAAATGCAAGGAGAGTTACAAAAGAGGCTCTAAATTAGGAAGGTGAGTTTAGATAATACTTACTCGAGAAACATGTAAGAATGAAATTTTCTTGAGAGAATGAAATTTATAAATCCAAATACTGTGAAAAAAGAGTGTTAAGACCAGGAATATCCCTATGCTGTAGAGTGCTTTTCTGGTCTACTTGAAACAGTCTGAATTTTTCCTTCAATATTAGAGATAGGTCAATGATATTTATTAAAATTTGTTGTTTAGTGGTTTAGTTCCATGGAAGGACTATTTTAAAGCTCTAATTTTTTAATGCTTTTGTAGTATCACCCTTTTCCCTCATCACTGAACTTTCTCTAAATTTTAATGAGAGAACAATATTTGAATGTTGAGATAACAACATTAGAGGCAGAAACACAAACCTGCTGACCAATCAAATTTCTCTGCTCTTCTTAGGATCTGGAAATTTCTAACGAAAGATGAACTTAAGTTTTATTCCTTTACTAGAAAAAATAACACTCCTTTCTATTGGTTTAGTAGGCATTTCCCATACTTAACAAGGTAAGTATTTTAGGATGAGATTGTAAATATGTCTGTCCCTTTGTTCCACAGTTACAATCTACTCAGTATTATTCCAATAGTAGATGTTTCAAAACAACTAACCTTTCAAGAGGAGAGTCTGTTTTGGGAAATGACTCACAACATATTTCAACTGGAATTTCAGGTGGTATTTATCTTACCAACACATCACAAAATCTACATCAAACTGCTGCCCTATCACAAATGCAAGTTTTTGAGGAGTTAACATCGAAATTTCCTTAGAGCATTTGCTAACTTTACAAAAAGGCATTTTGAAAGATTTTTTATTCAAACTCCAGTATTAGAGGTATATCTTAAGAAAACTTGACATATGAAAAACGCATATTTTAAAAGATAAAATTGGGGACTTTAAAAAAGAATTTGCAGTTATTTCTCCAATGGCATTTAAAATATGATTTGATCTACAAAACACTTTTCGGGATACTTTGTGTTGTACAATGAAGTGCTTCAAATTCTAGATTATGGTCAGTCGAATCATATACATGGTATTTCTTTTCCCTCATTTTACTTTCTTCTTTCACAATACTTACAGCTAAGAATAAGTAATGTATTTTGCCATGTATAACGCACATCCACACTTTTGGCCCAAACTTTCAGAGAAAAAAATCTTTTAATTTTTAATTCAATGTTTAATTTATATTTAGAAACACAACCAATTTATTGTATTCTAGGGTATTAATTTGCATACAGATATCATTATGGCTTTCTAGAGTCATACTTTTAACACATAAGCATAAATAAAAGAATTAAAAACATTTATATAGATATGGAACTAGTACTAACCATGTATAATGCTCTTATTTTCCCTCAAAAATTTGGGCAAAAAAAGTGTGCATTATACACAGCAAAATATGGTGTATTTCTTCCAGTATTTCCCTCTGTCAATAGTGGTGGGATAAAAATCACCAATGTTATTTTTACATGAAACATTTTATTTTTAAAATTCAGAATTGAACATGTCTGATTTGTATAAAAGTAGAGTCCCTTTTTAATGCATAGAACACCCCTATATTCATTTATGCAGCAATTAAGTCATAAGTGCTCCTGGTTAGATTTCGAGACTTCAGTAAATGCCTTGTGTGGTGAACTCTTACTGTAATACCTCTTAACATCTTAATACACAGATTTGTTCAGTCTCATTTAAAAACAAATTTCTGAACGCTTGTGGTTAAAATAAAAATCTTAATTTTAACTGCATATTGTTAAAATATTCAGGATCCCCCAAAATATCACTGCAAGTCACTTGCAAATATTTAGATAAAAACTACCTAGAATTAGAGATATTAAATTCCAGTAAAGCTAAATAATGACAGTTTTTGCAATCTGTGCAGAGCTTTAACTTACAATGTGCTTTCATGTATATCATTTTATTTGACTCCCAGGGCTCTGGGTGACAAGTGTTATTTCCCCAATTTACAGATGAGGAGCCTGACGCTCAGAGGTGTTAAGTGATTTGCCCAGGTTCACACAGCTACAAAGTTCCAAAACAGGTCTAGGTTTTCTGTTTGCTGGACAAAGGTTATTGCATGTCTATCTTTAAACTCATCGCCTATAAAAGCCTAAATATACAGATCCTAAATTCGAAAAAAGAAAATCACGAGAGATATGTTCTCAACAGACAAGGGCATACATTCTCCTACATAACCACAACATGATCATAAAAATCAAGAAAATAATTTGATACATTACTACCATCTAACCTCAGACCCCATTCAATGTCCTTCTAGCAAAAGGATCCATTCCAAAATCATACTTTTCATTTAGTTTCATGTCTTGTTTCCTTGAGTCTAGAGGTTTCCCAGTCTTTCCTTGACATTCATGAACTTGACACTTCAGATTACAGGCCAGTTATTTTGTTGAATGCCCTATTCGATTTGAGGATTGATTCCTCATGATTAAACTGTGTATTTTGGGCAGAAATATGATGGGAATTAGGTGTTTGCACTGCATTCTATCAGGTGGAACACAGTTTGACTTGTCCCTGTAGTGCCGTTAACTAGAATCACGTAAGGTAGTTTTTGCCAGGCTTTCCCTGTATTCGTTTTTTTGAAAATAATTAGCATTTTGAAAGGAGGGACTACTGTGAGACTACTCAAATATCCTGTTCTTTTTTACATTATTAATTTCAATGCTCACACTGTCCCATATTTAGCCAGTGAGAGTCCTTTAAATCTGGATTTTGTGTCCTTTTGACATTTCCAATTCTTGGAAAATTCCTTACCTCTGGAATGAGGGATTACAGTAACATCTTACATTTTCCCTGCCACAGCTACTCCTCCAAACAGCCCCGATTCCTTTTCATGAACAATGTATTTAGAAACCAAGATGTAGGTGCTAGGTATGCTCATTGCTATTGGAGTATCATTGATACCAAATCCTCTCACTGGACAGAATTGAAGTGTGTGTGTGTGTGTGTGTGTGTGTGTGTGTGTTATCTACACATTTGCATCTACAATTATTTCTCTATCATGAAAACTATGCCTCAGTTGGTTGGAGTATCGTCCTCTGTAAACTTCAAAGTTTATAGGTTCAATTCCCAGTAAGGGGCACATGCCTGCATTGCACTTTCAGTCCCCTGTTGGGGCTAACAAGCAGTCAATGGATGTTCCTCTTTCCCTCCCTTCCCCCTGCCTCCTCTCCCTAAAAACAAACAAACAAACAAAAAATCCTGCTTATTCCAGTGCAGGGTCTTGGGTGGCTGACGCCTATCCCAGCAGCTCAAGGCAGAAGTGGGGAACCAACCCTGGACAGGATGCTGTTTCATTGAAGGGTACACACTCATACACACTCACACTCATTCAGACTGGAGGAACTGCAGACACACCAACTCACCTAATATGCACATCTTTGGGATGCAGCAGGAAACTGGAGTACAGAGAAAACCCACAGACATGGAGAACTGCAAACCACAGAGTGGCTTTCGCCAGAAATAAATTTTTTCCCTCATCAATGGTATAGCAAAACAACAGAATGAAACATTAGTCAAAGACCTGCTGTACTAGTTTATCTGCCACCAGCAGCACATCTGGCTTAGAATTGCTCCATCATCTCAACACTTGGTATTGTAAATCTAAACATTTCTGCTATTCCTGGTGGATGTATAATGGCACTCATTGTGGATTTAATTTGAACAAATTTTTATTTACTATTTACTATCCATATGGAAAAAAATCTTTATTATATCACACACAATAATTCATTCCAAGCTGCACGGCAGATCTAAACGTAAAAAAGAGACAATAATGCTTCTAGAGTGTTGTCCAGAACTTTCTGCAATGATAAAAATGTTCTGGATCTGCATCTTCCTTTAGAGTAGCTGCTGGCTATGTGTGGCTGTTGAGCATTTCAAATGTGTCTAGTGTATTGAGAAAATGGTCAATTTTATTTAACTTTTAAGTTTAACTTGATCAAAATTAAAGATTTCTGTTCATTAAAAGATACCATTAATTGCAAGCAACACTCTGTGGCAGAAGATCAAAACTGTCTGACACAATCTGAGCTTGCTATAGCAACAAAGTTCAACCTATTGCAGCGTTCTCGCTTCTGAGACAAGCTGTTTAGTGTTTTTTAAAAAAGATACCATTAAGACAGCGCAAAGATAAATGATCTCTATCCATAAATACATAAAGAATCAGTATAGGTGAAACAGACTCTTTAAAAGGACCTTTATACAAATGCTAATAAATATGATAGCCATTAAGAGAACTACAAATAAAACTGTATCACTCCACCCACCAGAATGGCTAAAGCTAAAAGACAAGATGACAAAAGATAAATAACAGGTATAAGGAAGAATGTGAAGCAACTGGAATTCTCATACATTGAGTATACTTTGGTACAATTTTGTAAACTGACCATGTCTACTAAAGCCAAAGCATACCCTCTGGATTAGCAATCCATTCTTAGGAGCCACCCAATAAAAACATCCATTCATACATACCAGAAGACAAGTACAAGATTAATCCTAAACAGGAAATAAACTCCACATCCACCAATAGTAGATGGACAAATACTAAGCAATCTAGAAAATAAACAAAAGTCTATGGTGTGGTCAACAGTGGGGGGCAGGGGAAGGGTGAGGAGGGGTTTGAGGGGAGTTTCAGTGTAAACTACATATTCATGGTACATGCACTTTATTTATGCATGTTACACTATTCTTAAAAGATTAAGAATGTTCTGGCCCTGGCTGGTGTGGCTCAGTGGAGTAAGTGCTGGACTGGAAACAAAGGTCACTGATTTTATTCCTGGTCAGGGCACACGCCTGGATTGCAGGCCAGGTCCCCAATTGGGGATGTGTGAGAGGTTACCAACCCATGTTTCTGTCCCTCCCTTCCCTTCTAAAAAGATAAAACTTAAAAAAAAATGTTCTGTAACTTGGCACAGACTTATATATGTACCCTTGGTGTACTGAATAGAGCTTTTCAGCTATGGTGGCAGAATTCCAATTCAAATTGGCCCAAGAGAAAGCAGGAAAGCATTATTAGTTTAAGTATCTAAAAAATATATATGCCCCATTAGAACCAGAGATTCAAAAGCAATCATTAGGTCTTTATCTTTCTCTCATTTCTGCTTTCTTTTGTGTGGGCTTTATTCTGTCAAGCAGTTGGACACTCATTCTCCCGTGCAACTAGAGACTTACCTCATCTTCACTACTGACTGGCAATACTAATGAAAAACGTCTTTTCAACTCTGACAAATCTCAGAACTGGCCTGAGTCATACTTTTCCTGGAGCCTATGCGGCCCCATTTGAATCACTAGACTATGAGTAGTGAAGGGGTACTTTCCCAAGGGAAATCAAGGTACTGTGCCCAGAAAAGGGTTGGACAAGTGCAAGAGAGGCAAAAACATTTGTGTATCTGGGGAAGCAGACAGAAGAAACCCTTAATTTGCAGCTCCTCCCTATGTCAAACTTAGTTAATGAAAGTAATAGTTAACCATTGAACACAGGGGTGACGGGGTTAGGAGCACCAACCTCCTGTATAGTCAAAAGCCTGTGTATAACTTTGATTCCTCCCAAATTTTACTAGTAGCCTAATGTTGAGTGACCAGAAGCTTTACCAATAACACAAATGGTCAATTAACACCTATTTGTATGTGGCTCAGGGGACTGAGCACTGTCTGTGAACTGAAAGGTTGCCAGTTTGATTCCAGTCAGGGCACCTGCCTGGGTTGTGGGCCAGGTCCCTAGTTGGGGGCGAGGGAGAGGCAACCCATGGATATGCCTCCTGCACATTATTGTTTCTCTCCCTGTCTTCCTCCTTTTCCCTCTTTCTAAAGATAAATAAAAAATCTTAAGAAAAAAAAGAGAAAAAACAGGTTTATAGTATTTATTTATTTAAAAATTTTTATTTATTTATCTTTTGAGGGGAAGGGAAGGAGAGAGGTAGAGAAACACCAATGTATGGTTGCCTCTGTGCTTCCCCTGCTGGGAACTGGCCTGCAACCCAAGCATGTGCCCTGAGTGGGAACTGAACTGCAGTTGTTTGGTTTGCAAGCCCATGCTCAATCCACTGAGCTGCGCCAGCCAGGGCTACAGTATTTATTGAAAAAAATCTATATAAAATTGGACCCATGCAATTCAAACCTGTGTGGTTCAAGGGTCAACTGTACATAGTTTGTCCTAGCTAAAGCATCCAAGCTGCAGCTTTAGAAGTCTCTGAACCACACTGGGAGAGGCTAATCAACAGCTTCTTACCAGATCTCTTAGATCACGGTCTCTCCCTATTAGACTATCTCTTGCAACCATGGTTAAATCAATCTTTCCAACATATGGCTCTAGTTATAACTCTAACAATGGAACCAAATTTAGCCTGTTAACTCATGGTCTTCCATGATCTCACCCTGTTTCATAGTTCATTGTACCATACTATTTACTCTCTATGCATGATGAATCAGTGCTTTTTAAGTATTTGTCACTGTCACTGATCTATTTTAAAGTATTAGGAAGTCATATTAATGTGTCAGTCAAGAGATACAAGCATTAGCTTTGTTACTTGTCCTTTCTGGCTCTAAAGGTATACTATTATACATTTATTTGTAAGTGCTAAATTTGATCCTTAATATAACTTTTTCCTAAAAGTCAATATTCTTATTAAACTAAGTTTATCCTAAAAATAAAACGTGGTTAACTCAAAGTAAGTATGAGATAAATAGCACTTCCTTAATGGGGAAGACCTGTTATAGAACTATTTTCTCCATACCATTGATATATTTCCCACAAATAAATTATATATAGCATTTCATTTCAATGGTTTCAAAGACTTAGGACAGAGATTATAATTTTAGTTTGACACATAAATGGAAGTTGTAATAAACTGTATTATATTTTTTAGCATATATAAAACAAGACATGTTCATAAATAGGCCACCGGGATCTTTAGCTAACTTCATCCAGGCTAAAAATCTCCATGTTTTCACACTTGGCTAAAACTGATTTATGTATACAACCAATTTACTAACTTGTGAGGGTCTCAGAATTAAAGTGATTTTTAATTAAAAAAAGGAATTATGGCATAAATGACATTAGTTTTAAAATAAGACCATGAACTAAAAGTTCAAACATATCACTATTTTTATTTTCATTTAAGCCAAGTATGCCTGAGCTAAAGTTAGACAACATGTATATCTATCCATATTTCATACTAATACAAATTTCAAAACATAAAGTATAATGATATTCTGTACATTCAAATCCACTTACTTTTATCTGAAACAGTATTTATAAAACAAATAGGTCCTGCAACAAAACTACCATTAGGAAAGTTATTTAAATTATTTTTTAATGGTTATAGTGGAGCTAATTTTCCTCATAAAGTACCTCCTAGGATTTAGGACTCTTTAGGTTGCTTGAATACAACCAAGAATGTGATACTGATTAGTATTATATATCAGTTTAGTCAAATATCTGAAATAAAAGGAGTGACTTTTGACTTAACCCTAAACCAAAAATGAACCTTGAAAATATAGTTTACCACTTCTAACACACTCCTTTATGTGTCCACACAGCATGTTCCAGGAAGTCAATCTTCTTCTTTCTCAATGTATGTCTTTGCATTAACCCGTGCCATCTGCCTGGCCAAGTACCTGTCTCTAGCTGACATTACAGTTTCTTCATTGCTCCGTTTTGCAAACTTGCTCAGTGTCTCATGCAGTCTCTCTTGTTCTTTGCCAGTATCTTGGCATTCCTCTGTGACTCTGTGTTTTGTTCCCACTGATGTTTCACAACTAGAGAGTTTCTCTGAGTTTGTCTCTTTGTCCTTTTCCATGTTTCTCATTTTATTGGATCTTTCCTGGTCAGGAAACTTATCTTTTGCTCTAGATTTCGGGCTGCTTTCCTTTCTGTCTCGCTTCCTTTCTGAAGAGTGAACACCTGCTTCTCGTTTTTCTCTATCTCTGTTTTCATATCTTTCTTTCCTTGCTTTCATATGTTCTTCCTTTTCTTTGCTTTTCTCTTCCTTCTCTCCTCCTTTCTCACTGTGTTGGTCATGATCATTTCGTTGCCTATCTCTTTCTTGTTCTCTTGTGGGATATCTCTCTCTGTCTTTCTCCCTTTTCCATTCTCTGTCATTTCTTTCTCTTTGGTCTCTTCCCCTCAGTTTATCTTCTTGTTCATGTCTCTTCCAATGGGCATCTCTATGACCCGCCTCTCTGTGCCTATGGGAATCTTTCTTTTCTTTTCGGTAATCACGGTCAGTGTAGTAGTTCTCTTGGTCCCTGGATTGTCTCTCTTGGTGCTTATCTTCCCTTTTCTCATGTCCCCTTGACTTGGAACTTTTTGTGTGGCTTTTGGTATCATGTTCTCTTTCTTCGCTAGATGACCGTGAATGAGTGTGATTCTTGTGATGCCTGGAGTCATTCTCAGAGGTCTCTATGTTCTTTTCCCTTCTGCACTTCACTTTATTACTTCTTTCCATTTCATTGTCCTCGCTGTCATTATCGAAGTCACTATCTGCATCTGGGTTTTCCTCTACTTTCACAACAGTTTGGAGAATGCATTTTTCAAGTGGTATTCTGTTCTCTGAACTTACTTCATCAGAATAACCCCTTGACTTCTCTTCCTTTATCCCAGACCTTAAAAAAATCATAAATGGCACATTATCATTTATAGTAAGCATATAAAGTGTTTATATAATTTCCCTCAATATTTAAATCAATAAAATTATAATTAGATAAGCTTCCTGATCATCAAGATGTAAAAAGGTGCTAATGTCTATTTACTTTGTAAACATCTGCATAACCAGCATTTTCTAATCATTCAGAATATTTTCAATATTGGTAGAAGTTAAGAAAATGAACCCTTCTGTATTAGATTACTGGAACCTTCAGGCAGGGGTCTGTGATAAGCATAGATGAAGAATAACCAGCAAAAGAAAAATACATTCTGGACCTTAGTAGCACTTTCACAACGTGGAGTTTAAGTAGTGGCTCTTTAATAAATTTTTATTTTTCTTTCTATAAAAATTAAGAGTCATGTTAATAGATAAAGATAAATTTTTCCCACAGCAAAATGGTGGCAAAAATCTAATTCTAAATCTCACTTAATAAACCCTATATGATTAAAAAGGCATCAGCCTCTAGATATACTCCTTAGCACCTATCACAGCAAAATGGAAATATGTGAATCCATCCAATTATTACAACCAGCAACACTAAAATTGTTTACGTCATCTACATTTTCCCAGCTGATACGTGTGGTTCATTTATTTATATTATTCACACACTCATCACTTACTAATCACACTAATAGAACAACTATGGTTCTATAGAAATTGCTAGTACAACTGTCTTGGCTAAATAAATCACTAACAATTAGGAATTCTTTAGACTCTGAGAAGTGCCACTACTAAATGACATAGAGTTTCATGGCTGGCCTCACAACTACTCCAGATGAAACTCTAACAGAAACATTAATTTTCTGTTCAAAATCTCAATCTTCAAATGTACCTTCTTAGACTCATAAATTTCATCATTTTTAAAATCAATAGTTAGCAGTCGGAGTTGGGGAAGTATAAAACTAATCCCCTCTCTTTTATTTTTTTAGAGAGAGGTGAAGAAGGAAGAAAGAGAGGAAGGGAAACATCAATGTGTGGGAGAAACATCAACTGGTTGCCTCTTGCACACCCCCAACTGGGGATCTGTCCTGCAACCCAGGCATGTGCTCTGACCAGAAATTGAACCAGTGACCTTTCAGTTCACAGGCCCATGCTCAATCCACTGAGCTACACCAGCCAGGACTAAACCTAATTCCCTTTTTTAATCCTTAATTCCATTCTCCTGACTCTCCCCTTCACCTAGGAACCCAAGACTCAGATCCTCTTAGCTAGATGCTTCTGTTTCCAAAAAGGTTACTTAAATATAAGTTTAGGATTAATTCTCCCTTTTACTTTTACCTATATACTTATGGCATAATCATTTCACCATTCTTATTTAATATCTTATAATTTTACTTAAAATCCTCTAATCCTTTCTATACTAGTACTAATAAAAATGTCTACATAAATGGTAATGTCCATATCTGTGCTAATGTGGTAGCCACTAGCAAAATGTAGAAACTGAGTACTTGAAATGTGGCTGTTGTGACCAAATTTTATATTTATTATTAAGCAGCCACAAGTGAATAGTGGCTTCTTATTGAATAGCGCATCTCTAGCCCTTGATATATGAATTTTACATTTTATGGAGGCTGAGTTCTAGTTATAAAAGTAAACCACATCTCTTTTTATATACTACCTAACTATGTATGTAAAATTACTACAGAATAAAGACAATCTAAACTAAATCTTAAGATTTTTAAATTAAGAAACTAAATTCCCAGGCATTCCTTCAATTAGGTCAGGTTTGGCCGATAAAACAATATGCAATGCTGCGATCCTCTCTGGAAGAGTTAATGAGTATTAACTCGTGATCTGTAAACCACAGATCATGAATATCTTTTTTCTCATTACTCTGCATGCCACATCTTACCTAGCTTCACGAAAGCTGCATGTAGGTACTTCCTCTTCACCAACTGCTTGATTTAATAGATGCCTATAAAATCCACTGAGGTCTTTCTGCTTGGTTACATCCAAACGTGCTAAGAGAAGGAAAGCAAAAGTGAGAATTTATTCAAAAGGCAAAAATGCAGTTCAGTTTACAGATATAGAATATATAACATATACTGTGTATAAACTATTCTTTTAAGATTTTATTTATTTATTATCAGAGAGCGAAGGGAAGAAAAACATCGAGGTGTGGTTACCTCTTAAGTGCCCCCAACTGGGGACCTAGCCAGTAACCCAGGCATGTGACCTAGACTGGGAATTGAACCGGTGACCCTTTAGCTCGCAGGACAGCACTCAATCCACTGAACTACACCAGTCAGGGCTCGAGTAAACTACTCTTTAGACCAAGAGTTGGCAAATGATAGCCTGTAGGCCAATTTTAGCTGCTGCCTGTCTTTGTAAATAAATTTTTATTGAAAGGTAGCCCCGTTCATTTGTTTATGCATTGTCTAGGGGTGCTTTTGTGTTACAAAGGCAGAGTTGAGAGATCACATAGTACACAAAGCCTAAAATGTTATCTGCTCCTTTCCGGAAAGCCTGCTGACTAGTACTCCAGATGAACACAGAGTATAGGCACAGACCAAGTCTTACAGATTTGATTTTCTTCCACTTAAAGTTGATGAGCCCTTGCCACTTAAGCTGTTTATAAGTACATATTTTACTTAAATCTTGAGAAACGACCATGAGCAGAAAGCACTGAGGCAAAGCACTAACTACAATTTTGTTTGGCCTCTGCACCTTTTTGTTTTTTCTTGAATTACTGTTATTCTTTTTCTAAATGTCCAGTTGATGCTCCTTGGGTGATGTTACTCTAGTTTTCTCATCCCAGAAAATATAAGTAGGATTTAAATCTCAGACATATACTGCTCTGACATATTATGACTTATGTACAATGTTTTTATATTGGAATCATTTTCCACGGCAATGACTTGTAATGAACACAGTTTTAAGCAACCAAACAAGGTCTAACGGAAAAGTCCAATAGAAGTACTAGTTACTAAGAATGCAATTGTTTTTACTAAAAATATCCTCTCTTTTATAATACAACATAATACTCTATTTTGTACCTTCAATTCCTATACATAAATTATGATCACAACATTTATAATCTAAAAGTTCAGTGACAGAGCAAATGGCTAACCACAGGGCAGAATTTTGCTGCCTGTTTCCTTCTACCCTCTCCCTCTTCCATTTCACCTTCAAGTGCAGCAGCCCTCTTTTCTCTTTCCTCCTCTTCAGCTCTCTCTTGCAGTTTTTTCTTATAAGCAGATGTCACAAATGCTTCTTTATCATCAAACTCTCCCTTTTCCATTTCTCGTTCTCTCTGTATTTTCTTTTCCATTCTTTTTTCTTGTTCCTTTTTTCTGATCTCAACTGCTTTTAGTAAGTTGTGAATATACTTGGGCTAGGGGGAAAATACGTTTATTTAAGACAGAGTTAAAGATAATAATTGTTAATACTCTATTTTTTACCATGAATTGATTAATACAGAAATGTCTAGTAAAAATAGGTATGTTTGTCATCTCAGACACTAATATAAATTTATTAGCCAAACTGAACCTAAAATTCTTTCCATAAAAATGTAAGATAAGATATTCAAAATGTTTATTATTATTTTTTAAAACATCAAGCTAAGTTAAGTAATTTTCCCACTGTTTTTCTCACCATTTATAATGGTATCACCTTAACACTTCTGTAACAGGTAAGTGAATCAAAAAGGTCCCTACTCATTTTTCACATTAGTTGAAATAAGATTTAAAACAATAGCTTTAATATAATTTTATACCACATTTTATTTGTAGATACTGTAAAATGCAAAGATCCTTAAAAATCAGTGTGTGTTTGTGAAAGAGTAAGAGTGATGGAAAATCTGAACTTATTTTAATTCCCCTTACCCTTAATTGTTTTCAAACTAAAAATCTTATCATGATGTGTGCAGATGATTCAGTTACCAGGTAGGAAGCCATAAAAAATGAGACGATGGCAAAATACAAATAAACACAAACAAGAGAACAAAAACTTCCCAAGAAAAAGTTTTCACAATATTATTTACAAAGGCTTTAAAGCAAAAACCAAACCTTATAAAATTATTAGATAATTCACTTGTTCCCGTTCGAATACTAAATGTTGGGCTTCCTGGGTTCTATTCTATTTGGAGCTAAGGGCACCTCACACTTCAAATACCAGAAAGCTTTTTCCCAAATCATCTTCACGCTGAAGTAAGATTAAGATATATAATGCAGGTCAGGGTCAAAGAAAGTTTGTATTTTCTGCTACAAACCTTTCGGTCTTTTCCCAAAAGCAATTTGGGATTACTTTCTTCCTTTTTTTTCTGCATTTCATCATAAATACTGTCATATTCATATACAGTGGAATCTTCTGCAAGGGCCTTCTGGATTTCCAGTTTGGTCTTAAAAAAAAAATTAAACATGTTTCAAGATATGAACTAGCTGACAGCACAAAAAAGTTTAAATAATTTTCTTGAGACAGGATCATAAATCAGAAATATATCATAAAAATTATACCAATCACATTTTAACACAAAAAAATAAGAACATGAGTTCTGAGCATGGCTGCCTCAGTTTGAATCCTGGCTCTATACTTCCTAGCCACTTCAGCTAAGTTTGTTTATCACTTTGTGCCTCAGTTTTCCTCAACTAAAAAATTGAGAACTGCATCTATCCTCAAAGTTGTGATAATTAAGTAACAATAAACTTAAACCACTAAGAATGGAGCATCACAGAGAGTAAGTGTTCAATAAACATTAGCTATTATTATTTAATCATCTGACCATAAATAATATTATCCACATCCACAGGTCAAAAAGTCCAAGGTTTAATGTAGACACATCTTAGTTTTAGATGTCTATAGTAAATTACATATTAAGCTTTCATATTATTTTTTAGGCAAGTGGATTTACCAAATAAAATGTTCCGTTTTCAAATGGTAAGAAGTAGTTTTTTAAAAGCTTCCGTCGTATCAGAAAAATGGGGATATTTTATAATTAATATTTTTGCAATATAAAGTCCTCTGCCTTTGTACATCATGTTCCCTCTATGAACTGTTCCTCCTCTTGTTTTCAGGCCATCAAAATCTTATCTAGAACTTCAACTCCTGCTTTTAAAAAAACTATTTTTCAATTCCAATTGATATACAATGACATATTAGTTTCAGGTATACAATATAGTTATTAGACATTTATGTCCTTTATGAAATGATCATCCCAATATGTCTAGAACCCATCTGACATCATACATAGTTATTACAGCATATCGACTATATTCTCTATGCTGTACTTTACATACTTGTGACTATTTTTATAATTGGCAATTTGTACTTCTTAATCCCTTTCACCTTTTCCACCAACGCCCCCCATGACTCTTCTCATCTGGTGACCCATCAGTTTGTGGGTTTTTATCCAAAAAAATCCAAAACACTAATATGAAATGATATAAGCACCCCTAGTTCACTGAAGCATTATTTATGATAGTCAAAATACGGAAGCAACTTAAGTGTCCATCAATAGATGAATAGGCAAAAAGGATAGGGAATAATTACTTAGCAGTAAAAGAACAAAATCTTGCCATGTGCCACAACATGGATGAACCCAGAGGGTGTTATTTTAAGTGAAGTAAGTCAGACTGCGAAAGAAATACCGTATTTTCACTTTGTGGAATCTAATTAAAAAATAATAAACAAAGCAGAAACAAACTCAACCCCTACCTCTTTTCTTTTTTACGATTTTATTTATTTTTAGAAAGAGGCGAAGGGAGGCAGAAAGAAATGGAAAGAAGTATCAATTGGTTGCTTCTCACATGCCCCCAAATGGGGACCTGGCCTGCAACCCAGGCATGTGCCCTAACTGGGAATCAAAGGAGTGACCTTTTGATTCACAGACTGGCACTCAATCCATTGAATCACACCAGCTAGGGCATCCTACCTTTTTTTTTTCTTCTTAAATATTGACACCATTACAACTGTCCTCTACTTCCCCCTTTTGCCCCCTCCACCCAGCTCCCACTCTGGCTTTCATCACAATGTTGTCTGTGTTCATGTGCTATGCATGTTTTTTTGCTAATCTCTTCTAGTCTCCCTTACCCACCTCTCCTCTGAGATCTGTCAGTCTATTCCATGTACCCATGCCTCTGGTTTTATTTTGTTATAACCCCTACCTCTTAAATGAGGACATCTCTGAGGACTTTCACCCACAAGGATCTCTTTCTTTTGAACTCTGATGGCACATTCTATGCTGCAATTATTTAGCTGCAATATAATATCCTTGATGTTATTATTTCCTGTTTCACAAATCTCAGTCTCTTGTCCCAGTTTAAAAGTTCCTGAGGTACACATTACACATTTTCACTTTTTAATTGCTATATTGCCTATTGCATGTAGAATATAAGAGGGCTTTTTAAGTAATGGGCTGATATAATTATTCAAAGAATAGGCCTGACATTCTCAAGTTTTTACAAAACAATGATTAGGCTCTAGAATAATGTACACACTAACTTAAATATTTTTTCTGGAATACTGTTTAGGACATTAAAACATTTTTAATTTTTCTATTTTCAACATTTACTTTAATCTCAGAAGAACAATGATTCCTCCCACCTACATGGTGAATTAGCACTGCTATTCCCTCCCCAAAACCAATCTGGAGAACTCAAAGGAAAACACGGAGTTTAAGAAATAACAACTAAAAAAAAACCTCAGAAAAACCCCCCAAAACCAGGGGAAAAAGGACACTAAAATGTTTTAAATTGATAACATGCTTTTATATTTTTGGGAGTGGCCAGAGAGCACTTGTATGGATTTGTTATTAATTTCAGTCTTAAAATATATAAAGCAAAAAAACTTGAACAACAATATAGGGAAAAGTCCACAACTACAAGGCAACCATAGAGGCAAGTCCACAACTACAGTAGAGGATTATTTTTTTAGTACAGGGTTTTAACATATGCCTCTCAGTAATTAATAGAACAAACAAAAAAAATCAGTATAAATATATATGAATTAACACAACTGGCCCAATGAAAACATACAGAACATTTTTCAAGCACAGTAAGTTTATAAAAACTTTACTGGACCATAAAGTTAATCTCAACACATTTTAAAGATATGAAATAATACAATACATGATCTTGGAGCACAAAGAAATCATGTCAGAAATCATTAAAACAAAGGTAACCCTAAAACCCCTGTTATGTTTAGAATTAAGTTCTAAATAACCCGTGGGTCAAAAAAGCAATCATAATGCAAACCAGAAAATATTCTTAACTGAATAACAAAAATACTTTATCAAAATTTGTGAGATGCAGCTATATTAGAGCTTAAAGTAAAATGTATAGCTTTAAATATATGTATTAGAAAAAAAGGGCTGAAAAACAAGAGAGGTATGCACACACCTCAAAAAGTTAGATAAAATAACAAAATGAACCCAAAGAAGGAGGAAAACCCTAATTTGTGAAGGCAGAAATTAATGAAGTAGAAACAAACTTGTAAAACATGTTTATCGTTAGTTCATTAAGATCCACAGACTGCGTAATTACAGGGTAAGATAGGGAAAATTACAGGCCAATCTCATAATGCACAACTCCTCAACATACCCTTTAGTAAACCAAATGGAACAATATATAAACAGGATAATACCTTATGTCTATTTTGGGTTTATACTATTTATGTAAAGTTATGATGATTGACTTTCTAAAGTTAAACTGACCTTACTTTATTGGTAGAAATACAACATTGTCATGAAATATGATCCTTTTAATATAGTACATTCATGATTAAATAAAGAGTAACAAAAGTTCAAATCAAAATCAGAAAGTCATTCCTTAACTTGGTAAGACGCTATCTACCAAAGACCTATAACAAATTTTATATAGAATGATGATGTATTAAAAGTTTTCCCAGTGAAACAGGGATAAGGTTGTTTTGTCATCATCAGTTGCACACTTAAGGGTCTGACAAAAGAAAAGAATATAAAGAAAGAAAAAGTGGTCTATTAGATAAGTAAGTACATTGCTTCTAAGAGTATTCTCTTAGATTTAGTAAATGCAATCAAACTAGTATTCTTCATGGTAAATAGCCTGGGAATAAAGCAGAAGAGGGGGAACACACAAGTGGGGAATAAGGTGGAAAGTACATAGCAAAGGTAGATCAAGGCAGCAGCAGGCAGGTAAGCAGTATAGAAACAGTAGCAGTTATTTCCAATTTCAAAGCAAACTATGGAAAAGTCCCATGAAATAAAAAAAGTGAACAAGCCAGAGTTAAGAATAAATTTTGATTTTGGATTTATGCTTTAGGTAAGAAAAAGCAGGACAAAAATATCAAAAGAACACTGAAAAACAAGATACCTATACAACCTTTGAGAAGTTACCAGACACTCTGGAACTAATTCCCCCATCTATATAGTAAAGAAGTCAAACTTGATGGTCTCTCTCAAATTCTGCTGAGCTCTAAAATTTGGATTCAAACCAAAAATTTATGTTAAAGGATCATGTTTTTTTAAATGACGTTTTTATGCCCCACTATGAAACTAAGATATAATATTAAAATAATAACTAAATACACAATTCTGTGCCCACTCCCCAAGAAGGCAATAAAACACAGTGGTTAAAAGTTTGGGCTCTGCAATTTCACTGCCTGTGTTGGAACACACCTTGACCATTTACTAAATATGAGACCTCATGAAAGTCACATAAATCCTTTTTGCTTCATTTTTTTCAACTACAAAATGGGGATTATAAAAGCATCTAATTACAGAATTGTTGTAAGAATTAGTTAATTCTTAGAAAGTAGTTTATGCTATCATGTCTGACATATAGGAGACATCATTCTTACCAGATTCTTCTCAGACAAGGGGAAAATAGTACTAAATATTAAAGAAAATGTGAACAGTGAAAGAATTAAAATGAAAAATAAAGGTACTTTGGCATTGTTTAATTGTATTATGTTCTGCAGCAGCTAAATCTAAGACACTGGTGTAGTAGGAGAAAAATCAGTAAGCATTTGTGCTTACCCCTGTAAATAGCTGTGTAATTATGAGGGATAATTTATCCTTTTGAAATTTCAGATTTCATAATCAACACTATAAACAGATTTGTGAGAATTTATAAAATATTACATGTATTTTTAAAAAGGCTTCAAAATATATACAGCATTATATAAAAATAATGGTGCTAGCAAGTCTACTAAAAATCATGACATTTCCCTTTCTTGGTCGGTGATTTTCAAATAGTTACAAAATTGTGAAATACTCTGGTTGCAAAGAAAATTATTTTTGGCAAGTAAGCTCACTAAGCAGGAATTATTAAACTGTATAATCCATCGTCAGACTGCTAAGTCACCAGAAAGCTGAAGTGGATTTAATCTACAACACAGCAGTAAACAGTTAATTCTTCTTTCTATTTTTTCCTTTAAAATTTATAAAAAAGAAATCTATGTAAATCAAAACACACCTTAACATACTGTCAAAAACCAATTTTTTCTCTATGTATACCTTTTTTGTCTCAGCACTTAGATATGAAAACTGACACATAAAAATGTGAGCTGAAATACTTCCTTTACCAAGTGCATTTAACTCACTTTTCTACCTTACCTGTTTCATTGCTTGCTTTTTAGCAGCTTCCCTCTGAAGGGTTTCACTCACGGAGGTCTGTAACACAGAAAAATACTGTCACTGTTTAACACTTCTTTTCTAAAATTCTGGCTGGCAACTGGTTTCTTACTTATTGTTAAAACAGAAAGATAGTATTATTAATTAACATAATCAAGTGATCAAGGTCTTTTCCCTAAACTTCTGGAAACAAATGAATTTTCATTGTAACTCATCAGATTAGGCTATAAACTGAAAGAAAAAAAAAAGAATAGTACAGGACAAAAATGAGGTAACATGGGTTCTTTAGTACCAATTATACCACTAAGTCATTCAACTTCCATGGATTTCAACTGCTTTGTGTGCTCATATGAATGTGTGTCTGAGTGTGTGTATACTAGCTGGGGGTGGATCAGTCCGTTCCAACACTAAAATGTATCATTTCCAGCAACAGAAAGCACATTATTTTAATATTCACCATTAAATTTAGTATATCAAGCTGTTAGTATATGCTTAAGGCTTATGGGCAGTCGAAACTACCTGAAGTGATAATCATTCAATAAAACATGTAGTGAAACACCTACCATATCTCCCATTGTTCTAGTTCTTGAAGATATTGGAAAAGCAAGAACAGTCTTTGTTCTTGAAAGATAAATGGTCTAAAAGGAAGAGAAATAACTAAAGAGATGATTATAATATAAATGTGATAAGTGATGTAATAAAGGGAAAAAAATAGAACACAGGGAAATAAAATATATAAGGAATCAAGAAAGCTTTCCCTAAAGATGACATTAGACCTGAATCAAAAAGAATTTAAGAGAAGGCAAGAGGAATATAATTGGAAATAGTAACCACATGGGCAAAAGACTTATAGCTAAGAAAGTAAATGTAATTAGCATATTTAAGTAAAAATGTTTCCTTAGAGTACAAGGGCTTTGTAAATATACTAACCAACACTGACAGGTTTGCTTTAACAGGGTGAATTTTATGGTGTGTGAATTATCTTTAAAAAATAAAGGTACTAATAAATTTATTTTTAATGAAAAATATAAGCCTCAGACCTAGGATTTATCCATTTTTCTCTAGAGAAAATGGATAAATTCTTAGAATCATATACCCTTCTAAGACTGAATCATGAAGAAACATAAAATCTGTATAGACCAATCGCTAATAAGGAGATTGAAACAGTAATCAAAAATCTCAAAAACAAAAGTCCAGGACCAGATTCACTGGTGAACTCTACCAAATATTCAAAGATTTAATACCTATCCTTTTCAAATTCTCCTCAAAAATTGAAGAGGAATGAATACTTTCTAATTAGATTCAAAAAGTCAACATTACCCTGGTACCAAAACCACACAAGGATAATACGCACACAAGAGAAAACCAGAGGTCAATATCTCTCATGAACATAGATGCAAAAATTCTCAACAAAATATTATCAAATTGAATACAACATATTAAAAGGATCACAGACTATGATTAAGTAGGATTTATTCCAGGAATGAAAGGATGGTTCAACATCCAGAAATCAATCAATATGACACCATACTAACAAAATGAAAGATGAAAATCATATGATCATCTTAACAGATGCAGAAAAAGCAGTCCACACTATACAATATCAATTTAAGATCAAATATCTCAAAAAATGGACTTAAAAAGAAAGCATCTCAGCATAATAAAGGTCATATATGACAAACCTACAGCTAGTATCACACTGAAAGGTAAAAACTTGAAAGCTTTTCCTTTACAATCAGGAACAACACAAGGATGCCCACTCTTACCACTACTTTTCAAAACAATATTAGAAGTCCTAGCTAAAGCAATCAGGCAAGGAAAGAAATAAAAGGAATCTAGAATGAGGTAAAGCTATCACTATTTGCAGATGACATGATATTATATATAAAAAACTCTAATGACTCCACCCGAAAACTGTTAGAAATTATAAACACATACAAGTTGCAGAATATAAAATAAATATACAAAAATATGTTGCATTTCTGTATTTTAACAACAAAAATCAGAAAAAGAAATTTAAAAGTCTCATTTACAAACGCAACAAAAATAATAAAATACCTAGGAATATATTTAACCACAGAGGTGAAAGACCTGTAAGTTGAAATGTGTAAGACATTGTTGAAAGAAACTGAAGACACAAAGAAATGGAAAGATATTCTGTGTTCATGTACTGGAAGAATAAACACTGTTAAAATGCCTATATTACCTAAAGCAATCTATAGTTTCAGTGCAGTACCTATAAAAATCCTAACAGCATTTCCCCCAAAGATACTCCCCCCAAAAATCCTAAAATTTTTGTTGAACTACAAAGACCCCAAGTAGACAAAGCAATACTAAGATAAAGAAAAAAAAAAGAGGTATTACACTCCCTGATTTCATAATATGCTACAAAGCTATTGTAACCAAAAACAGTATGGTATCAGCAGAAAAACACAGAAGGATCAAAAGGACAGAATCAAAGCCCAGAAATAAAATCAAACATATATGGACCACTAATTTACCACAAAGAAGCTAAGAATGTAGAACAGAGAAAGAAAAGTCTCCTAAATAGATGGTGTTGAGCCCTGGCTGGTGTGGCTCAGTGTACTGAATGCTGGCCTGCAAACCAAAGAGTTGCTGGTTTGATTCCCGGTGTGGAGCACATACCTGGGTTATGGGCTGGGTCCCCATTGGGGGTGTGTGCAAGAGGCAATTACACATTGATGTTTCTCTCCCTCCCTTCCCCTCTCTAAATATAAATAAATTATTTTTAAAAATAAAAGAAATAAATGGTGTTGAGAAAACTGGACAGCCATATGCAAAAGAATGAAACTATACCACTATCGTACCCATACCTAAAAATTAACTCAAAATAGATTAAAGACTTGAACATAAAACCTGAAACCATAAAATACATAGAAGAAAACATAGGCAGTACGCCCCCTGACATTGGTCTTAATCATGTTTTCGTGGCTCAGACTTTGATGGCAGGGGGTAACACAATCAAAAATAAACAAATGGGTCTACATCCAACTACAAAGCTTCTGCACAGCAAAGGAAACAATCAAAAAAATGAAGAGACAACCTACCAAATGAAAAAAGACATTTAGCCCTGGCTGGTGTGGCTCAGTGAACTGAGCACCAGCCTGCAAACAAAAGGGTCACTGGTTCAATTCCCAGCCAGGGCACATTCCTGGGTGGCAGGCCAGGCCCCCAGTAGGCAGTGTGAGAGAGGCAACCAAACACTTATGTTTCTCTCCCTCCCTTGCCCTCTGCCTAAAAATAAATAAAATCTTTAAAAAAAGACATTTACAAATCATACATCTGATAAGGGGTTAATACTCAAAATATATATAAAGAACTCATACATCTTAACCACACACACACACTAATTAAAAATGGGCAGAAAATCTAAATAGACATTTTTCCAAAAAGACATAGAGATGCCCAAAAGGCACATGAAAAGGTATCCAAAATCACTAATTATTACGGAAATGCAAATCAAAATGAGTTATCAGTTTACATCTTAGAATGGCTATCATCAAAATGACAAGAAAGAGCAAGATAAAAAAATATTGGAGAGGATGTGAAGAAAAGGAAAGCCTCGTCAGTGAAAGTACAGACACTATGGAAAATAGTATGGAGACTCCTCAAAAAATTAAGAATAGAACTAACATATGATTCAGTTATTCCACTTGTGGGTATTCACCCAAGAATACAAAACACTAATTTGAAAAGATATATGCATACCTATGTTCACTGCAGCATGATTTACAATAGCCAAGACATGAAAACAAACTAAGTGTCCACTGATGGATGAATGGATAAAATAGATTACACACACGTATATATACACAGTGAAATACTACTCAGCCATAAAAGTAGGTAAAATCCTGCCATTTGTGTCAACATGGATGGACTTTGAGGATATTATGCTAAGTGCAATAAGTCAGCTGGAAAACACAAATCCTACATAATTTCACTCATGTGAAATGTAAAATGAAAACAACAGCAGCAAATGAACTCAGAAGAAAGTTCATTCGACCAGGAGAGAGATCAAAACAGGAAAAGGCGATAAACTGTATGGTGATGCAAAGAAACTAAACTCTTGGTACTGAGCATGATGTAGTATATATAGATGTTGAATTATAATGTTGCATACCTGAAACCCATATGGTGTTATACAGCAATGCTCTTACCACAATTAAAGGTCTTTTTTCTTTTAAGGTATTGAAGTAGAAGTGCACATCATACCTTTCACATATCGACTGGCAAAATTAGCCAGTCACATGACTTCAATTAACTAGTGATAAAGTAGAAAATGTAATGTCTAACTGAGCAAGCTGTGTCCCCATCTTAGATTGTTACTATAGAAGGGAACAATGTATTTGTTGACTTAGCTGTCTTCACCATAGAGACTACAAAAAGAGTAATAGACCAAGAGATTTTCAATATCTAAAACCAACAATAGATTGATATATAAAATATAAAAGGAACTCTTATAAGGCAAAAAGAAAGGAAATAAAACAGACAACAGGGCAGTAGAAATGAAAAATTTATAGAAAAGTACTAAGGAATGCCTAATAAATACAAGAGATATTTATTATCTCTTGTACTAAGAGATACTAAGGAGTACTAAGGAATGTCTAATGAATACGAGAGATACTCAACTTCACTAAGCATTAATGAATTGCAAAGTAAAACAATTAAGAATGGAAAATATAAGCATGGGTGAGATGAAGAAACAGCTGACCACCTGGAAAATGTAAACTGGTATAGTCAATCCAGAAAGCAAGTTGCCAGAACTTAGTGAAATAATGTATCTATATGCACTCTGATCCAAAAATCCAACCACTGGATACACACCCCCAAAAGAAACTCTTTGGTTTCTGTTTGGTTTTTATTAAGATGTGTACCAGAATGTTGTGATAGCAGGGAACTGAAAGGTATTAAAAATATTTATCTCAGGGAATGGGATAAAATACAGTAGACATACATGCAAGTAGTCAGAGTCAACTAGGTATATGCAATGTAATGCAGTGTTGACTGAAAAAAGTGAG